AGTTGTATGATTTTTCCTCCTGTTCCATCTTAGCTAGTTTTTTTTTTGATAAGTAAAAAATCACCCTGCTTTTTTTTTAAATTTATTTGGATCTACAGTTTTGATGGTGAATTTTCTTGTTAGCAAACTTCAGAAAAAAGAAAATGTCATGATACATTTTAACAAGTCTTCAAGTATCTGATTGTATATTTTCGCCATACCATCCACCCTTCTGTAGGCTTACAATTAGCACAATGCTAACTGGCATATGTGAGCTCCCATTTCTTAGCTAGCTAACACCTCCTTTTCCTTAAAAAAAAGAAAAGTGGTAATTTGTAATTTTGAAAAGTGGTAATTTGTCTAATACTGTGCTTAACCACCAGTGGGCCGGCCAGAAAACACTGAGCGAAACGCCAGTGGACCGCCAGCTTTGCCATCAGTGGGCCAACAGTGGTCCACTATCCTCTTGCTATCTGGCAATGCTAATTTATACAACCTGAACTTCATCTTAAACGTTGCAGACAAGACATGTTTGGTCTCTAAAGCTTGCTTCTTTCTAACAGAAGTAATACAACTATTACAAGTATATAAGTATGCAACACAAGAGCTCCCATTTCTTAGCTCGCTGACTTTGTAGAACCAGTGCTAAAGCTAAAACAGTGCACTTCAGACGCCAAGCACGGCTGTGGTTGGGTGGAAAGCGTGTTTGATTTTTCACTGAACTTTTACTTTTAGCACGAGAATAAAGTTAGCAGTTCAAACAGCTCTTCAGGTTCACCAACTGGTGCATCCCAGTTTCAGAGTGATGGTGACTGTTAGTCTGTTTGGCCTCTTTTCGTCCACTTTTTTCAATGATTGCTGGTCTATTCTACAGTAAAAAGCTGATTATGCTTGTACAAAGTAAACTGAGCAGTGAAAGTACAGTCTGCAACTAAAAAGGCTGAACAGTAAGTAATAACTGAATTGTAATATGTAACTGAGTTTTCCTTTCCTCACAGATTTAACTAACTTGAAGAACTACAAGTAAAATCATCAGCAGAAAACCTTCAATATGATCTTTAAGCTTCCTCTTTGCTCAGAATTGAGAGAAATCAGTGTTTCAATATGATGTCCAAAACACTATATTGACTGCAGACTGTTATTATTAATAACTGCTGCTAACTACGTTCCCTGAGAGCCATGTTTCAAAAGCTAATGCAGCCAGGCTGTTACAACTAAGTTATGTGGCAACTATTTCCAATACATTTGGAAGACAAAAGTCATTGAAACTGTGTATGTTAGTCTGCAGATACAGATTCAGACCGTCCTTAAAAATGTTAGATTAATACATTTCACAGAGTTAATATTTGGCCTGTGGCCTGAGTCATGTAATTGTGAATGGTCCTAATCTTCCTTTGGCTCATTCTTTTAACTGTGGTTTTATTCTAAAACAGTGTGACCATCATCCTGATCTGATATGACTATTAGGAACTCTCTAACAGTTTATTCTCATGATGTACACATTTACGTCACTTCAGAAATTTCTTGGGAGCAAAGCTTCTGGTGTTAGCCAATGCTGACAGCCTCATAGCTTAGATGTTACTTCATCCCTCTTATCTGTTTCATTGAGTCGTACATTTCTCAAGAGATCTGAACATCCCACTGTCTAAGTAATGAAACTTTCGACTGACTGGTAAACGAAACGAAAGAAGGGCTTTCTGTTTTCCATGCAGGCCTAGGCAAAAGTTATTTATGTCAATACTTGGAAACAAGAAGAATGAAAGTTTTAAAATCAGTGTGTTATAACATTAATGGATACCACTGTAAAATAAGCCTACCCTTATTAAGGGATTGTAAATGCTTTAAAATGAGTGTTTTAACGGTTATTAGTTATGTCATAAACACTTTCAAGATTATTAATAAGCAGTTATAACATGTTAATAAAAAGTGAGCCATTATATGTGATGAATATGAACGTGTGATGAAGCCGACATGTTTAATCTGAGTATAAACGAATGTGGGTTCACTATTAGGTAAACAACATCTCACTGTTGCTCTTTTTGTTTATGTGTTGTAACTGCTTATAACTGATTTTAAGGTGTTTATGACCAGTTATAACCATTGATGAACTAACTTTATACAGTTCATAAACGCTTTATGTGGCTAGTCTTATTCTGATATGATATGCATCAAAATAACATTATTTTGATCAATTATGTCACAATAAACATTTCTGGGCTTCTTGTGGATATTTTGAGTGCTTAAATGACGCTGATAGACTGCATGTTTCATTACAAAGAGGGCACAATTAGTCCTGTTTAACCACATTTACTGTAGCGCAGTATGAGATAGGGTCAAAAATGATATAATCTGTTCCAACTTATCAAACCTCAGAAAAGCAACATACAGAAAAAACAACATACTGTGATGTGTATTATGCATCTTGAAAATTTCTTTGAATGTGGTGATGTTATGTTTTTGCCATATCACCCACCGCTACTACTATTACAGCTGTCATTATAACGATTGTTATCACCTGGCCAATCCACCGCATGACACCAGCTCATCCGACCGTTCTTCTGAAATAAAGGGTATTAATTTCATCAGTTTTTTTTTTATTTCTGCGTAATTCCACTGCTGAGGTGTACACAAAGTCATTCAGAGTGGTTTGGTGTGAAATGGTTCATTGCTGAGAAACTTACAGACTCAGATTTCTACACAGTGGTGGTGATAGGAACCAGACGTCACAATGTCTACAACACTAATATAGTTATTGTGTTTACTATCCAAAATAGCTTTTATTATGTAATATTTTTGATGATAAAATAGACCAAAATCTGAAAAAAAGCTTTATTTGGGTATTATTTTGCCTCCTATCTATAATGTGTGCATTTTAAAAGTATGTATTAGGCCAAAACCTTATCACACAAGTTTTATAAAACAATATCTCAGCCCATTATTGAGTTAAAGTGGCTGTTTTAAAGCAGGAAAATCACTAAAATGAGCAGAGGGTTGAGAAACCCTGCGTTAAGTTTGGTGACTGCTGAGTTGGGCCCGTCTGTCGCTTTAAAACATCATAAAGAGCTGGAAAACTGAGGTTCGCCATTGGGCCGCCATTGTGCCGACGCTATCTCACCATTGGTCCACTCACATGGCAATCAAAGCTTGTGGCCTGCTGGCCCAGCCCACCGCATCTCCTCATTGGCTCGCTGGACCGCCCACCGTAGCTCCTCATTGGCCCGCCGCGCTGTCAGTCACGGCTGTTTACATCAGCGTTGTTAGGTGGAATTTCCCCGGTTACGCCGCGTTTCTGCCGATAGGATCGGAGCGGGGCTCATCTCATCGCGGCGTCTGCTGCTTCCGACACACGGCGACAGCAGGTCAGAAAAAACAACCAAAAACAGCCATTTTCACAGCTTCTGCGTGTCTGAACGTCCCGACCGTCGCGTCTGTGAACCGAAACGGCGGTTATGAGGCGCCGCCGCGGCGCTTTAATAACTTAGCTAGCCTAGCCTCGTTAGCGTAAACAGAGCACCTGCCGTTAGCTTGATGCTAATCTACTGTTTACTCTAACGCTGCGGGGGGAAATGGGGCTCGTCTTTTTTGTCTACCTGCTTTGTTTTCCTTTGGGCTCTTCATGGAGGAGACACCGGTGAAACTAACCCTGGTTTAGCTGTAGAAATGTGGCATCGTCGGGTCTGCTGTCAAATAACAGGACGAGGCTGAAGTTGGGCTTCGTATTCGCCAGCGTCTTGTTCGAATTTCCCCGTTCCACCTTAAATGGTGCAGCAGTTACAGGCACCAGACTGTAACTGCTGCGCCATTTAAGGTGGAACGGGGAAATTGAAGCAAGAAAACTGATTTAAGCCTCGTGATAATAGGCTAGCCTGATGGCCGGCTGGCCGGCTGGCCGGCTCTGTGTCTCCGCTACAGGGCAGTTTAGGTGCAGTAGAACAGAATAATAATCAGGTTATCGTTATCAGGCTCTTTGTCTTGGTTATCTGATCCTCAGTAGCTAAATTAGACTCTTCATCATCACGGAAAGGAAAGTGAAACGCTTTAAGTCGGTAGGCTTTCTCTTTAGACCTCAATGTGGTGCCTTGAAAGCGGCACGACTGTACAAATTCACGTTCTTTAGCCTGACTGTCTGTCTTCAGTGGGAGTGGGAGTGGGAGCTGAGAGAACAGACATCATGAACAACGGAGGGGGGTGTATGTGTGGTTTTGAAGTCCACGTTTTGAATGACGAAGGCTTATGATGAATACCGTCATCATCGTGTATCCACCTTTGCAGTTGTGTGTGTGTGGGGGTATTGTCTAGAAAAATAATAAGGTGCACTTTTAACAAAGATGGTTCTTTAAGGGTTCTTTAGTAAAGGCAGTGGTTCTGTTTAGAATCTGAGATCTGTATAGAACCGTTTCAGGCCTAAATGGTTCTTCAGATTGATGGAGAATGTGTGGTATAGGATTCTTTACAGGGCCTTTTTGAAAATTGTTCTAAGTAGCACAAAAGAAGACTACTTCTATTGTTTACAGTGTCATGCTTGTAACAACAGAAGAAATTTTTTTGGTGCTATAGAGAACCATTTTCAAAAAGGTTCTATAACGAGCCATATACAGCACATTATTCTCTCAATCTGAAGAGCGATTGCACCATGCAGAGAACCGTTCCCTTTTCTAGAGAACCCTTGAAGAACTGTCTTTTTAAAGAGTGTAGATGATTTGGCTGAGCTTTTAATAGTGTCTGGATGTGTCGTCAGTTTCAGAAACTTTCAGTGCTGTAGTGGTGTCAGAGACGGGCATTCAAATGACCGTGGTCTAAAATACCTAGAACAGAAATCCCCAGCACAGGATTATTCAAATGGCTCTTTTTTGAATTGTAAATGGTCTATTGGTTAGTGAGTGCGTCAGAGCCTGTAGGTTTAGCTTTAGGGTCACATGCCATGAGGTTGCACTTTTTTTTTTCTTTTCTTTTGAATTGGTTGTGGTTCTGAATGTCCTGATGAGCAGCTGATCTGATTCAGGCTGTCTCTTGTGTCTCAGTGCAGGGAAGCATGGTAAGTGAGTAGGCGGATATGGATGGAAAGGGCCCGTATCGGATCTATGACCCAGGTGGGAGCGAGAGTCAGGCCAAAGAGGAGGCCAGCAGCTATCGGCAGCTCCTGGAGGAGAACAGTGTCCTGAGAGAGCGTATGAAAGGCCTGAAGAGCCTGGGTGAGTCCATAATTTCTGCGCTCTTACTCTGTCACTGTAGAACGGCGGCGTTAGATTCCAGCCCTGAAGGGCCGCAGTGCTGTCGAGGTTAGGGTTTTCCCTGATTTGATACGCCTGTTTCAACTATTTATCCAATTTCCAAGCACTTGAAGGGATACTCTAGCACTTTTCAGCCTAATCTCTTTCTGCCATGTCTGTAGCATTTGGTCATTTCCTGCAGACAGTAATTTTTCTCTGTTCTGTCCACAAGAACAGAGAATCCATTGACATGCTTATGATAGAAGCCAATGGGCAGGTGCTGTTTTTCTGGGCAGGCGAATTATTCTCCATGGTAAACGATCTCGTTCTATGGATGTGGCAGATAAAAAAAAAAAAATAGGTCGGCAACACTCGAATATTCGTCTAATAAGCCGAAGTAGATATGTTTCTTCGTGGACTCTGAGCTGGACGCCTGAAGCGTGTGGTTGCATTTAAGAGTCATCACAACAAACCAGTTGTACAAGAATCTTTTAAAAGACCAAGCTTTCGCTTTTGTGTTTGGAATGATCTCATCTGGTTGCCATCATCAGCTGCGGAAAGATGTGATTAGACTGGTTTTATTGTGGGGTCAGAATGCAGCTTTTCCTGATTGGCCATTTTTGGCGTATCGCCCTGACTCACTGATGGGAATCAAACATGGCTTGGCGTCATGGTAACTGCCAACATGTGACCTAAGAGAGACTCAGGAGATGATATTTGTCCAGGTCGTTGCCATCCAGCCAATGTCAATGTGTGTTTTGGGTTCTGGCTGACAGGAGACCTGCTGGAGGAGTCCCAGACGGAGGCGTCTAAACTTCGGAAGCGCGTGGAGGAGCTGGTCCGGGATAATGAAGCCCTGAAGTCCTCCACCTCCAGCTTTGCCTCCAATGTTTGTATGGGAGCGCCTGTTCAGACGGACACGCAAGGTAGGTCTTATATAAGGTAGTAATTAAAGGCTTTAAAACTAGACAATTGTAGGGAATTTTAAAGAGGCGCATATTTTCCTTGGGACTAATGATATCTATCTATCTATCTGTCTATCTTATTCTCTGTCTCTCAAGCTATCTATCTATCTATCTGTCAGTCTTACTCTCTGTCTCTTTATCTCTCTATCTATTTATCTATCTAGCTGTCTGTATCTGTCTCTCTATCTGTCTCTCTGTCTGTGTACCTGTCTATCTGTCTCTCTGTCTGTCTGTCTGTCTGCCTGTCTATCTATCTATGTATCTATCTATCTATCATCTATCTTTCTATCTATCTACCTACCTACCCACCTACCTGTCTGTCTTGATATCTGTCACTCTTTTTATCTCTGTCTATCTGTCTCTTTTGTTTATCTATTAGAAGTGTAACAGTTCACAAAAAAATTCTAGATTTAATACATTTTTAGATATGGCAGAAATAAGGAGTGGCTGAAATTGTGCCCTGTGTTAGTTTTAATATGCTGTTGTTTTCATTGTTAGGTTATTAGAACTGCCAGTATTGTCAATGTTATTCTTTGTACTCCTTAACACTGCTTACATGTTGCCGGTGAAAAACTGCCATTGTGTGTCTCGTAGCCAAATTTGCGACGGTACGAAGCCAGTGGTGGCTTGCAGCAGTGTAAATGTTGCCGTGGTGAAAGTGGCGTTTCTGCCCTTGTGTGAGTCGACAGTGTTTTGAACACGCACTATTGTTTGTACTATTGTGTTTTCATTAAAAACTTACATGGACCACAAGGCTTCTCTGGGCTTCAACTGCTAGCATTCAGTGCCCGGGTTTCTGCAAGAAATCAACATCCGCTTTGGTGTGTTGGAGTGGCAGCTGGTTGTATGATGGTTTACGATGGCTGTCCTGATCTCTTAGGTCATGGGAAGCTTCTCAGTCACCCCACATCCGTCAGAGCTGACCCCCGTGAGTGTTTAAGTGGAAAAACGGTTCAGCCAGAAGCCACTGTAAGTACGCAACGTATAAATCCACAAACCATTATCATATCAATCACTTGCACTGCTATAACACTTTATTATGTAAGTGTGGGTTCTCTCGTCTGAGCTGCTTGTCAGTGTTGCTATGTCAGGACATCAAAACATCCTTTTCCGAGCAGATATGTATGACCCCGACAGAGTGATGTTGTAATCCTGTGCATTTTCTTGTGTTGAAGGAACCCTCTTCGCACTTCGAACTGGTGAACATGGAGGACAAGACCATCACAGAAACACAAACGGTGAGATTTGGGGATGTGTGGAAAGTCTGGGTGGTTAAAAGTCTTAAAAAGGGATATTCTGTGCTCTTTAATGAGGAAAAGGTCTGCGAGCTTCCCAGCTCTGTGGCTCTCTGGCTGTCCCTGAGCTTTTCCCTATGTGCTACTTCTCAGCTGCTGTTGTGACTCAGTGGGTTTGTATGGGGGCAGAGTCAGCTGTGACTCAGGGGGGAAACTCCAGGATTTACTCGAAGCAGGAAGACACTTGCAATCGCAGGAATTTCTCTTTTGGACACATTTAAGAGGGAAAACGTGTTGTTTACGGCGTTGACTTAATGTTTTGTGGGCACTAATATTCTCATTTCTCTGAGAATATTTAAGAGTTACGGTTCGAGGAAAAAGATCAGTGATAATGTATATATCTATCCATGAAGTAGGTTGTGTGTAACACAAACAAAGCAGAATGAACATTAACCCGTAAGTTATTGGCAGTGATGACAAACACAATTTGTAGTTATATAGTATTACTTATAATATTAGTAATAATAATAAGAAGAAGAAGAGTAACAATAACTTTTTATTTATATAAAATAAAGTTCAAAGTACTTCACAATGTTAAACACACAACAGTTAAACAGTGAAAACAATGAAAGAACATAATGAGTAAAAAAGATAATAAAAACAGAAAAAAGAATAAAATAAAAACAAAAAAGTGAAGAAATTCTGTTAAAAGTGGCGTTTATGTGTGTAAGTACAAGAGAAGAAATATATTATGATTACAGTCTATGAAATGAAATGAAATTATTATATATAATTAGAAATTACATAATTGCATTTTAATAGCTTGACAAAATGACAGTAACAGTTCTTAACATTTAAAAGATTGAAATTAGTTTTTAGTTAAACAAAAATGTGGTTATTGCTGAAGGTTTCATTACAAGCAGTGGTTTAATTGAAAGAAACATGAAATAGTATGTCTGTTAACCACAATAGCACAAAAGTACAGACTTCTGTTGTGCTTGGTGCGTGTTGGTGATATTTAATTGGAATTATTTGACATTTTAATCCTGTCGGATCTCATTGTAAAATGGAATGTTATGATGACGTATGTGGAGGAACTTGATTTCTAATCAGCTGATGGAGAAACAGGTCTGAGTTATTTGAGATGTTGATCTATGTGTGTCGACACGTAGGCTGGAGTCTTGCCCTTGGCGCAGGAAAACACGGAGCTGGCCAGTCAGTTGCAGCGTCTGGAGAGTTCGTTCAGCGTGTTTGCGGAGGAGTCCAACCCCAACCAGCTCCTGGCGCACCTGGGCCGCATGGCCGTGGAGTTCCACCACCTGTCCTCCAAAGTGCAGAAGAACGAGCAGAGAACATCACTGCTACAGGTAACACTGGCTTACGTTACACCTGTTCTGCCCTGATTAGAGATGGGATGGTTATAGATTTTTTTCATAGATTTTTTTGGTGTCATAAAGAAATATGAAAGGTTGACCTAAAAGTTTGTCACTGTAGTACCTGTGGTGAAATGATTTTAATGTATATAAGTGTGTTTTAAATAATACCAAAAACTGCAACACTACTTGTCACTGATGTCATGATGGGAAATTTCCATACTTTCTCCTATTCCTAACCTGAATTTGATCCACGCTGATTCAGTTTTTCAGTTGCTGTGAAAAAAATCTAGAAATCAGTCATAAAGTGTGAGATACATTTTACATCATTTGTTGGGATTTATTTAATGTTGATTGTGTACAAGACCTATAGAAGTGTGGACTCCTGGTCCAGCGTTGGCTAATCTCGTCAGACGACTATTGAGCTCTCACTGTGATTAAGTGATTACAAAGGAGATCTGTGTATATAATCCAGTATGAATCTGCAGTGTGTGTAGTTTTACAGTCTGACTGTAATAATTGTGGAGCGATTTTAATCCAGTATGAATCTGCAGTGTGTAGTTTTACAGTCTGACTGTAATAATTGTGGAGCGATTTTAATCCAGTATGAATCTGCAGTGTGTAGTTTTACAGTCTGGCAGTAATAATTGTGGAGTGATTGTTAATCCAGTATGAGTCTGCAGTGTGTGTAGTTTTAGTCTGATGGTGGTAACTGTGGAGTGAATGTCTCCTCTCTCAGTAGCAGTCCTGTTCTGATGCGTCTCGTGCTAATAGAATAACAAAACCTGTTAATAGACACGCCCGTGCAATGTGGTGCTCTAGTTATCAAGTATGTCTTGTGGCGTAACACTAACATCAACATCCTGGGTAGGACGTTTCAGTTTGAGCTCTCTGGGAATTTTGGGAAATTACGCAAATGCCTTATACAGTACCAGGCGGCCAGTTAAAGGAGCCCAGGGACTACATTTTGCTAGGCAGGCATATTTACCGGAATAGTCATTAATGTGCTTTGTTGCCGTACATCTAAACTGACTGAAGGAATGTCCAGAGAAACGACATTACAGAACTTCCCCTGGTAAAACTAACCAGCTCCATGTCGTGCACGAGGGCGAGTGTTAAACCGGACAGTGCTGTCGTGCCACAGGACTGCGTGATGAGCTTTTGTTGATTGGATTGTTATTGTAGACTTACTATAAAATTTGTCCGATGTGCAGTGGGTCACAGGTTTGCTTTGCCTCTCCTTCAGACACTTTGTGAGCAGCTAAGACAGGAAAACAGCGAACTTCGGAAAAAAATGGAGGAGGACCTTCAGTATCGCAATCGTGACTTGGAACAGCTGAGGTAAGTTTTGAATTCAGGCTTATGAGAGATGGTATATGGTCACATTGTTTTTACTGCTTGCTTGCTTGCTGATTGATTTGATCGATTGATTGATTTTTATTGCCTCAACCTTTAGAAGTCTGAAGTTATTGCCATCTTTTTTTAACCAAATAGAGAATTACATTTGCATTCAATTTACATTCTGTATTAAGAGTGTGATTGAGATATATAGATATATATATCTCAATCTATATATATTATTTTTTGGTCTGTTTTAATGTCAAACAATGACAAATTAAGGAAAAAATATAAAGAATGGAGTTTCCATCTACTAACTGTAACGTCTTTAAATTTAAATTATAATAAAATGTCTTTACTTATATTTTGAAACACAGAACATGCTGTAAACTGAACATTTACAATCTGCACTTTCCACAGAATTTCTCCACTTGTTTCAGTGACCTGTGCCTGAGAAATAATTCATATAAAATAACAGCATGCATTTGTTTCGTTGTCAGTAACTGTGATTTCTAAGGGTGACTGTTACAGTATGAAATAGGAGGGTTTCTAGTGGAATACGTCGTGAGCAGATCATAACGTGAGGGTTTCCCCTGCACGTGAAGTTGTAAGCCTGTAGTACTTCTCTCCTTTGGAGATGGGGCTATGTCTTTCCCTTTATAGCAGTGGAACTGTAGGGTCTTTCCAGTTAGTAACCTGTTCCTGTTGTGCCCTGCACTGAATGAGTGTATCAATCCTGGAAGTCCTGTTTTTTCTTAGAAGTTAACTCTCAGTTTTACTGTGTGTACCAGTTAGCCCAGGGGCGTTCATAGCCCAGGGGTATTCACTTCCGGTCGCGGAAGGCCGCAGTCCAGCAGTGTGGTGATTTCCCTGTTCAGACACGCATGATTCAAATTGTCTGTTAATTTCTGGCTTTTTAGTGTGCGTTTGAGCGGAGAAATCACCCGACTGTGATGGACTGAGGCCCTTCACTCTTAAAAAAAGGGCTTCTGTGAGGGTTCTTTAGTAAGGGAAATGTGGCAACTCTAACCACTGAATGCTGCATTGTTGAATGACTCTTCTCTACATGTTGTACATTGTTCTTTAAAGTACCTTTTAAAAATGGATCTATATAGCACCAAAACAGGTTCTCCTTTGGTTTGGTACTATACAGAACCCTTTTTGTTGAGAGAATAGCCCTAAAAGGCTAAATTGCAGTGAAAATGGCAGAATGTCTGTTCATTAGACTTCCTGTGATCAGCTCACAGAATACAGACTTTGTTTCTGAAGTTTGTGTGATTTTACACACTAAAGGTACCAAAAAAGGTGCTTGGACAGTTGACACAGATGAACCACTCTTGGTTCCCTAAAGAACCTTCCAGTAGATACTTATTAAAGAATCAGTTGGGTAAGTAAGATTTGTGAGTGTGAAGAACCAAGTAATGCAGATATTCTACACCAATTAAAGGATTTTTCTCAGGGTACAGAGTAAAAAGATGCTACTTAGAGGCCGTCCAACTTATTTTGTGGATTTTGTACTGGAAGAGTAGGCTTTTCCTATTGTATGAGTGATCACCACTGCTACAGGGATCTTTTGGTTAATTAATAGAGACAACACTGATCCGATATCTGGTACAAAGTCATGGAATAGCTACACAGTATGGTCCATGACTTTGTACTGGGTATCGGATCAGTGTCGTCTCTGTTAATTAATGAAAAGATCGCTGTAGCAGTGGCGATACCTGGTACAAAGTCATGGACTGGCTATCCTGTATGGTCCAATCGAATTTTGGAACAAATCTAGTCCAAAATATGTAAAAATTGCTTGCACACAGCATTAATGCAGCATGACATAAGGCCAAGTAAAGCAAGTGACACAATAATGGCTGCAGGGATCATTTAAAATGTTCACATGTTCGTGAAAGTTTAAAAAAGTTGAGTACAAGTAGGTTTTTCAGTATTCAAGTGAGCTTGTTCTCTGTAATATTGTTTGTTTTCATAAGGATTATGAGATATCGGAGCTGTACTTCACTTGAGTGGGAGCCTGTGTCTTATGCTTTGGTCAGAGTTTCTTATGTGCTTAAAGAAGAAAGCATAGAAAGATGCTTCTGTAGCTGTCTAAAAGCTACTGGGGCTGGGTAGCAGATCATACAGAGTGCAGCTATAGCACATAGGAAGCATTATAGAAAAGTGGTTTAAAAAGAAAACGCTTCATTTACACTCCACTTATATATGTTTAATGGAATAAAACTTACAACATCGTTTGTGTAGTTTCTTTATGTTTGATATCAGCTAACTAACTCTTTACAAGCTCACAAAGTCACAGTTTTCCAGCTAAAAGGTATAAACTGAAATGCAGACAATTGGAATTGGTCTGTTTACCTTAAAGACCTGAGATTACCACCACTTATCTATGTGTACGATTCATGCCACAATTTGCCACATGTCACCTTCTACTATGGGTCTAGATACAGTAATAGTAAGATGAGTTGGGTAGCCTTAAGAATCCTGGACGTTTTGTGAGGAGAGTGGTGTGTTTTGAATAATTCCTTAAAAATATCCCATTTGACTGAAATGCCCATCCCTAAACAGCAGCTACATGTGCCCTAACCTAAGCATTAGGACAATGGATAGCTAAGCCAGCTAAGTATAATGAGAAATATATCTTCGGTATTGCAAAGAGTCTAATTGTATACACATTTTGCACTGTAGGTGATAATTCTGAGTTTTTAAAGTTTAGATTATTCCTAAGTGCAGTGTTTTATTCTTAAATGAAGCGTTTCAAGTGTTTAACAATGACGAATTAGAAAGTAAAGTTGCTTTTAAAGAAGAAAGAAGTGTTTGGGTATCAGCTGATACTCAGGGTTTCACTATCAGTATCAGTATCCGAAACGAAAAAGTAGTATCGTGCATTCTGTGTTAATTAGCTATATGACAGGCCAAAATTTTAGAAGCAGCACTGACTGTCTTTGTGCTCATGAACAGGCAGGAGAATCTGAAGCTGAGGGAGCAGATGAACGGAAGGACGGAGGCAGTCCAGAGTGAGTCGTCTGACTCCAAAGACGAGGCGGCCAAAGAGGAAGCTGCGAAAGCCAAGCTGGAGGTGGCCATGACTCAGCAGGTACGCGCTCATATCCTCACCATCCTGACTTAGTCAGGTGACATCACCTCAGCAGATCACTCGCAGGGCTTTAGGAAATTTTTAACTTGTGTTTGGCATTTATTCACATCACCTCAGGCTGAGGAAAAGAGTTTAGGGTTTTTGTTTAAATAAAGGTGTAACCTTTGTTGACTGTAGATCTGGGAAAATTACACACGAGACAAAATTTACCTTTTTAGGGTAAAGTTGGAAGCATGATGAATCAGACTTACTGTTACTGAAGAAGTTTGGTAATACCACCATGCCCGTGGGTAGCATGCTCTCGTATTATGACTGCCGGTGAATAACACAGGCGGTCATTGAGTTGTAAAGCAGTTCAGTGTTTCAGCTTTTATAGTTGCTGTGTGACATCCACGTCTTCGAACTGAAGTGGAAACCAGTTCATTATGAAATACACACTGTTTGTGTGACAATGACATTTTTTTTATGAGGAGTTTCTGTCTAGCGGCTACTGTTTTCCTTTTTGGATGTTTTCTTTATGCTGTGACAGTAATTTATCTTTGGATCAAATATACAGTATAAATAGCAATAAGTGGTCCCCAACTTTAAATCTGTTTTTGGTCAGCCAACAGTATCAGTACCGCTTTGTTTGTCATTGAAGAGTGATATCAAAAATACGCTTCTTGTTCTAGAGAAGTTGATTATACTGGAAAAGCAGACGTTTATTGTTTTTTCTCTGATCACTGCTGCAGTAAATGTTTTTGTTCATTAAGTGCACTGCAGGCAAAAAAAGAGGAAGTAGCGCTAAGTTTGTAAAAATAACCATGACATTTTAATTCTTTCAAGAGATAATTTACAGTAAAATTTTAGCACAGAGCAAACTAGTTTGACTTAATCACTGCAGCAGTAGTGAACAACTAACTGATAATTTATTTAATTTGCTTATAAACCACTCAATGTAAAGGACTGTAATAAGCAAGGAGTGTGAAGAATGTTTTTTCCCCATATTATACATTACAGTAAGAGTATAGCTAGCAGTGGGCAAATGGAATATGTTTTCTATATATGAGTATACCGTGGACATTATTAGTACATTCTTTAAAATAAAGATCCTTAAAAAGGATCGTAATCAGTCCTGTTTAACAGATTTTATAACAACAACAACATTTATGTGTATAGCGCTTTTTACAACTAGTGTTGTCTCAAAGCAGCTTCACAGAAAAGCAGTTTATGGAAGGAAAGCAGTTTATGGAAGGGTTATCGAAAGAATAAAAAAGAAAAAAAAGAAAATAAAAGAAAAATAAAAAGGGTCCATGTGTAGACGTAAGGAGCTGAATCCGGGCCCAAGCCCCGCATGAGCAAGCCAGAGGCGACCGTGGCAAGGAAAAACTCCCTTGGAGTAAGAGGAAGAAACCTCGAGAGGAACCAAGGCTCAAGGGAGGGACCCATCCTCCTCTGGTCGACCCCAGATGAAGAGAGAATGACAGAGCTAATGAGATTTTATCACAAGATACAACAACATCTTTCACAAATATTCTGATCAATCCAGGAGGAAGTCATGCGAAGTTGGAACCGTTTCATAGGTTCTCAGTCAAAGTGAGAGATGGAGTTCATGATCAGTGCCAGATGCCGGTGGCTCCACTGTGGTAATTCTAGTCATGCAGGCTGACGAGCAGTTAATGACTAGTTAAAAGCAGAGCAGTTAAAACTAGTTCATTTGATCAAACTTCATGAAGTTATATTGTGACATACTGTTTATCATGAAAATGTCTTCAAGGATTGTGATATTATATTTCTGGCATATCGATTGAATATTTTGTTAAACTAGGGTTCAGACATTGTCAAAGTTGTGAAATGTTCTTGAAACTTCAAAATAAACTAGTGGCACAGTGATCTAAGCCTCGACCCCATTGTTGGGAGACTGTTGAGTCGATGCCACAGCCATCTGTGGCTGGGAGTCCAGTAGTGCGTGACTGGCCTCATTCGCTCTGGGTGGGTTAAATGGTCCTCCCTCTGTCCCCATCACTCAGCATGATGCTGGCCAACGCAGGCGTTTAAGTGACATAACAGAATTGCCCATTAGCACCTACATTTCAGCACCTGAAATTTAAGGCAAACATTATTATTATAAGAAATGTTACTTTTTGCTCAAAACCCTCCCAGCTTGATGGTATTGAGCGATTGTGGGGAGACCTGGCAAATGAGTGGGACTAGGACTAGGAAGGAAAAAAAAAAATCACTGCTTCATGCCATATTTTTGACCTGTTATGTATACTAGCAATATTTCGTTAACTAAGTATTTTTGCTTGTGTCCCAGGCTGGCAAAGCAGCAGAGAAAACTCCATCCAAGACCCTGGACCCAGAGGTGTACGAGAAGAAGATCAGGCTGCTGGAGAAGCAGAGGAGAGACGTAAGGGGGCGTTTTGGAGCCTGTTCTCTCTCGGCATTCAGTAGTGGCTTTTCTCCGCCGGGTGTGTGACAGTCTTGTCTTTTTTTTTCCAGGTGCTGGAGGTGAACAAACAGTGGGACATTCAGTGGAACTCCATGAAGGCTCAGTTTGAGCAGAAGGTACTGCTGCAGGCCTGAGCGTTCAACCTATAAATAACCGATAAAATTCCGTGTAATCTCATAACCCTTTTTTTTGTGGGTCAGATCCAGCCCTGCTCATTCGTTACTGTGACATTTGTATAATGATTCATTTTTACTGCGAAACAAAAAACGTTGCTCAATACGCTGGCTGGGTTGTGGCCTGCCTGCGTCATTGGAGGCCGGGCAAGGTGACGTGTGACTAGATGAGTGAAGCAGCGGTGCACAAATCGTTTGCGCAGGGAAGGTTCTGGGGCTTCGTGCCTGCGCTTGTGTAGCAGTGGAAACGCAGGCGAATGGAAAAGCAGATTGCGGCGTTTCACAGCGGCGTTCGCAGACCACAGTGCCCCTCCGTCACAAACACCGCAGAATTCCCCTTACCGAGGCTTCCTGCTGCTGCTGCTGCTGCAGCCCTAACTCTCTCACTCTCTCTCTCTCTCTCTCTCTCTCTGTCTCTGTCTGTCTCTCTTTCTCTCTCCCCACACATCCTCTGTCGTCACTGAGCTTGCTGTGCATAGATGGAACAAAAACATCTGACCTGTTATTGCCGTTGTGTCTATCTGTGTCATTGTGTTGTTTATTTCTGCTGCTCTGTAAATAAGATGTTTGCGTTACTGAAAAAACAGTCTGAACATTGCATGGATTCATCAGCAGCGTCCTTCAGTTCCTGGACCCATGGGTAGTTGAGGGCAGTATACGGGTTCATCTTGTATACCGATCTAAATTCTTCCTCAGGTGCTCTCTTAGAGCAGATTTCACAAATAAGCTCAGATTACACAACATACAGACAGTCCAAACCATGCTAATGTTGGTCTCTTTAGCTGAGTGGCTGATCCAGGGATGTTCCAGGTACGTTTTGAGTGAAATAGAACCGCAGCAGACCCTCAGTCACCTCCTGCTGTCTATGCTGTTGAATCTGAAGTATTCCAGTTTGATGATCTGAAGTAATGATCTGAGTGATTGTTGTGCTGCTGTGTCCTCTTGTACCACTTGACAAGCTGACTGACTGTCAGCTGCATCAGACGGTGCTGCAGTCGAAGGCTTGTGCACGAAATAAGCCATGGGACCAGCTGGTACTGAAGCGTGAATGACGGTAATATTTTCCAAATTCCAGTAGTGTCTGACGGTCGGCGGGGCGAGTACGTGGGATGCACCTATGAGACAAATGACCTGAGAAATTTGCTGAAATAAGATGACTTCTTATTCAAAATTCCCATACCACCTTAAATAGAGCAGTACTTTCAGGTGCTTGTACAGGCGCCAGAATGTAACTGCTGTTCCATTTAAGGTGGAATGGAAAATTTGAACAAAAAGCTGCCGAATAAGAAGGTAACTTCAGCTTTGTAGAAATGCTAATTCATAATAGAATAATCTAGAATAATAAGCCACTGCTAAATAGTTTTATTTGGGAGAAAAAATTACATGATTTTAATAATACTGTGCTACAAATTTTTGACCATACTGCTCACTGCTGCTGGTAGATCACAGCTCTGAAGTGGAGCGTCTCCCAGGTCTTGATGGAATTTGCAGCAAGTAGACGAACTGTTAAGAAACATAACGTGTATAAGGAGAAGCTAAATTAGAAATGTGCAAAAGGTTTAGGCACCTGAGAAAGTAATATCAGAATCTTTATTCGCCAAAATACCAAATATACAAAGAATTTCCCTTGGCGCAGGTGTTAAAATTAAATCCAATAATAAAAGAAAAACTTAGACATTTACCTAGTTTGCTTAATCAGTCCTTCAGTAAATCTGCTGATGGAAAAATCCATGCGATAACGAGTGCAGTGAGAAGCCAGGAGCCAAACTTCTTCTTGTAACTGTATTTTCATGTGACCAAGATGTAATTAACCTTTTTACAATCAAGGAACTCTTGTTACAGTTAGCTATAATTTTTTGTATGTATTCTAATATTACACAATAGTGTTTTACTGTCAAAAGCACGCTTACTGCCAGGATACCTAGTTTTAAACAATTGTCTAAGCTGCTGAAGACCTTTGCGTAATACTGTATTGCATGCTTGCAAGAGACCTAACGCTGAAACCAATGGGTTTGCAAATACGTGCTTAACTGTAAGTGAATATTTACATATGATCTGACTTGGAAGTGATGTTATTTTCCGCTGAATTTCACTGCTATGCAAAACAGCACTGGCATGCATGTTTTCCATTATTTTAGATTCAGATGTTCTCTAATATGAAAGTTGTTATGCTGTTAATTTTTCGTTTTCCCATCATTTGCCAACGCCCATGTGCACTCAGCCTAGACCAGCGCCAAATATCAGATCTTGCTAATCATCAGACTGTTTGAGCTTCAGATCTGTATCTTGGCATCCGTGAAACTAGAGAAGTCAGTTATAGGCCAGTGACTTTCTCCAGATGTCCCCTTTAAATGATAAAGAGAAACAGACAGTTCAGGTTTTACAGGATATTTAAAAATAGCTAGCTGTTCCTGCGTGCTCTGTCCATGCCATCAAAACAGTGCATTTAGATCGATGCCTCTCATCCACATAGCGTACATCTCTACCTCTGTTTGTGTTTAGATCACAGATCTGCGGCAGCGGCTGGCGGACTCCCAGAAGGCCGTTTTGGAGCTTGAGGCGGAGAGGGAGCAGAGACAGAGGGACTATGACAAGAAGCTGCTGCTGGCCAAATCCAAAATCGACAATGTGCAGGTAACGCCCCCCCCCACCCCCCAACTCCAGCTCGCTTTCAGTCTGTAGTTCTTCTCCTGGAGAGCTGCACCCCTGTGGGACTGTAACCTCACTCTGCCACTTCAAATCTTTAAAGACCAACTAAATGACACCAAAACAGGGTCATCGCTGTCTGATCAAACTTTGTATCTCCATTTTAGACGTTTTTTATTTTCTTGGCGTAATTTGAAAATACCCAATTTCCAGCTCGGAATCTCCTACTTCCCCTCCTAAAAGCGTTCGCGCAACTTCAGCAGTTTGAGGTCGGAAAAAATGGAGACTTGCCCTAAAGTAGCTCTGTTTTGGCTGCTGTGTGTATAAAAAGCTCTTCAAAAATGTTTGCATTTAAATTAAAGACCTTAAAGTTTGGTTACTGCTTTGTTTATTTCAAAAGTAAATGGCTGACAATTCACCGTTAGTGTAGTACCAAAAAATAACCAGTAAGTGTACAGTTTGATCAAAAATCTTACACAGAACAGATCAACCTTACAGTTATTCAGGGATCCCCCTGTGTTTACTTACGTCACACAGTGAGCACATGATAAACAAACAAACTCAGACGTCTGTAAATGATGCTGAAATCACATTGTTACTTCTTGTTCTGTGGGTGTCACTATGTTGAAATCACATTATGAATTAGCAACTCGGAGAAGCTGGAGCTCCGGAGAAGATGAAGGGACGTTCAAATAGACTGTTCCCACTTAGAGGAAGAAACTTCCCATTTCCCACTTGCTCATGAACACAGCATTAAACTGTTATCCTACACTTTTTCTTTACCCAATGACTACTAGCTGTCTTACTTTTTCTTCTAGCCATCCAGATGTTATTTTCTAGCTGTTCTGTTGTTTCTGCCATGAAGTACATACAGGGTAATGTTAGCCTAGCCTAGCTAGGTTTGTTCTTTCTCAGGCATCGTCTTTGAAATCTCCCATTGCAAACCAGGGCAGAGGAGAGGGGGGCTAAGAACCTCTTCCCCATTATGGCCAATATAACAAGTAAAGCCACTTTTCCACTGCATGGTACTGCCTCAACATGACTCGACTCTACTTGCCTTTATTGGTTTTCCGTTAGGCAAACCATGTACCTGTTACTGTGTTTTGGTATCACCTTCCAAGCGAGGCTGAGGCAGTACCAAAAGGTGATATGGATAAAATGAAGACTACTGATTGGTCAGAGAGAATCATCACTTATGCTGGCGTCAGCTACCAGGTTAGCGTAGCATCATGTGTCGCCTTTGAGCACCTAGAATAGTCTCGTCGTCTGAACTCTGATGTAGTATTTCCCAAACTATCCTGTTTTTCCATCAGTCCTTTGTCGTGCTGCTGTCACGTCGCGGCTGTTTTATTATGTGGCGCCGATATGATGACCAGCTACATTGAGGCCGTACTGTATCTGCAGCCTACAGCCTGTTGTCCTTAATAGGCTTTCAAGCAGGGCTGTATTACATTGTCTCTCCTAAATAGGTTTTGTAGTCTGTAACCTTAACTTTAAAATCACTTAAAGCCCATGTTCAGTGCATGAAAGGCTACAGCATGGCCTGTCTGTTTAGCAAGCCCCAGCTTGGCCACTGTAAGATTTGTTGCCCTATTCTGAAGACTGACAGCATTTTTTTCCTTGGTATAGGACAAAATAAAAGAGAACGCAGGTTATGAGACCAATGTTTACATTTTTGTGCACGTCAAATGTTAATGTGTCAGTTTTCTCAAGCCTGTCCTACCTGCGGTTACGTCACAGTAGCTGTGTTTCGTACAAAGGTACCAAATTTTTTTTTCATTAAAAATGTTTTAATGCTTTAAAAGGTTTGTCAGTGTAGGCTGTGGAAAAGGAAAATGTCTGTAATATTTTATTAATACTCCCAAAAGCTTGTTTCACATTTACCTTAAGAGGAAAAATTTTCTATACCAGAAATGTGTGGGAAAAACAAACGTTTCCACATGTGTCGTGGCAGATTTCCCTCTCATGCCTCGTACAACAAACACAAACAGCATGGTGGAGAGTTGTAGCCAGACTGAGGAGGGGACGAGAGTGTTTTAAACGGAATATTGCCATTTTTCAGCTCTTACAGAGAGAGCTGTCCCGAAGAGATAACAGCCTTCCAAGTGGAAAGTGCTCGAACAGCAAAAATAACACAAAAAACTGTCCTTATTAGTAGTTTTGAGGAAATCGGGGAAGCCAAAGTTGTGACATACGTGAAATTAGAGATGGAAACGTGGCAAATAGAGCTTTTTTTTATTGATAAACCAAAACTTATGCAACAACAGGTTTTTGCATTGAAATGACATCATTGTGTAAAGCATTGTTATTGCACAAGGTCAGTTTAATGGAAATACTTGATCAGCAGCTGAAAACCCAGAACTCTGAAGGAGAGTGGAGAAGGGTGGCGTGTTTAAAAGCTCACTGGCTTTCTTCTTTAATATTTTAGTGAACTGAGTCAGGTGTGTGGCTGTGGTTGTATAGGGCTGACACAAAAGCTTGTGGCATTCCAGCAGCAGAATTGCCTGCCCTGAGCTAACAGGAACTGAGTCTTCTTCTTTGCTCTCTGCAGCAGCTCAACAAGACTGTCAGACTTTGTCCTTATCATAGCATGCTTTCGTTTTTCTGTAAGGAAGCAACCGGTTTTCCCGTAGGGTGCTGCAGTTGCGGTTTAAGTGTTGTCTGATGGTTCCAGTAAGATCAAACGACAGCATAGCTGACAATCCTGCTGTTAATTAGACTAACAAGACTTAGAAACCCAGTCATTGTCTTTTGGTCTTCTTTTTCCCATCTCTGGTTGTGTTGGAAAGGACTAACCTTGAGTCCAGGTAGAAATCTTCTCCGAAAGCGTTGGCCAAGTTAAAGTGAAAGGGGCTTTCTGGAAATTTACCCAAGAGAAAAAAATGAAAGTTTTACTTAAATGTAATGATGCATAAACCAGCTGTGATGGGCGTAAGACCCAGCCCAGAGCTGCAGGATTTTCTCCATGTTGTTTCATGTTTCATTTTCTCTCCTTTGTCTGTTAAAAAAAAAGAGATGTGGATTTTTTTTTTGGTGGTGCGAGGCATGTTTTTAGAGGCTAACGAAGCGGTCTGAATGTGTGGAACTATTTTAAAGAAGAAAATGAAAACATACAAGTCTTTTTCTGCCACTTGCCACGAGTGCCATGCTTGTATAAAAGCCTGTATAAAACCTACAAAAACTCGCGACTGGTTAAAAACGAAACTCGAATCTTGAAAAATGTTGTGCTTTGCTGGGTGGGCTGCTTCTGGTTCTACAACAGACGTTAGCAGAGACTGTGCGTTCAAAACAGAGACAGAAGAGCAGACTACTTCACATTTGCGCACTATAGCAGTATAAAAACACAGCATATTTTATAAACTGGTTATAAAATGATAAAAACAAAATAATTGATTTTACTGCAGATTTTTAAAGTGAGTGGTAATCAGATCAGGGATATCAGTCAAATGGGATCATAAGCCAAAAGCTTCACTATAAAATGCTGTCCATAAAAAAGCCTATCAATCCAGAATGTTACATTTCTGCATATAGCATTAATCAGCAGACTAGTTTATCTTTTCTAAATTGAGAATCTGTGTTGTCTGTGAAACACACAAAGGTCTGATCAAAATCAGGCGATGCTTAACATTAAATTACTCTGATTGGTTCAGGGGGCAGAGAAATTGAATCAGACCATCCTTCGCTGAACCAAGTCAACTCAACTAAACTACAAACCCTTTAAAAACCCACTCAAGTGCTATAAAAAGCAGACATACAGTACTATAAAAAAAAGTTTAATCATCTCAGGAAATTAGGTATAAAAACCTGTTTATCTGTGCAGGAAACATTTATTTGTTTAGAAAATGTTTGGAAATGGCCATCATCCAGTGCCTGGTTTGGCTAAATAGTACTTGGTATAGGACAAAATACAAGAAAACGCAGATTATGAGACAAATGTTTACACTTTTGTGCACATCAAATGTTGCGTCAATCTTCTCAAGCCTGTCCTACCCACGGTTACATCGCTGTAGCTGTTTCTTCCAAAGGATTTTTTTTTTAAATGTTTTAATTCTTTAAGTTTGTCAGTGTTGGCTGTGGAACTGGAAAATGTCTAATATTTCATTACTATTAACAAAAGCTTGTTTCACATTTAATTCTGGAAAAACTAATGCATTTCCACATAAAATTAGTGCCATGTGACCACTTTCCCTCCCATGCCTCTTACAACAAACACAAACAGCATGGTGGAGAGTTGTAGCCAGACTGAGGAGGGGACGAGAGTGTTTTAAACGGAATAAAGCCATTTTTCAGCTCTTATAGAAAGAGCTGTCCTGAAGACACAACAGCTTTCCAAGTGGAAAGTGCTCAAACAGCAAAAATAACACAAAAAAATCCAAAGAAGCCAAAGTTGTGACATACATGAAATTAGAGCTGGAAACGTGGCAAATGGAGCTGTTAAATTGGTAAACCAAAACTTATGCAACAACAGTTTTTTGCATTGAAATGACTTCATTATATAAAGCATTGCTATTGCACAAGGTCAGTTTAATGGAAATGTAGTGGAAGCTTGTGGCGTTCCAGCAGCAGATTTGCCTGCCCTGAGCTAACAGGAACTGAGTCTGCTTAAGGAATCAAGCTTGTTTTCTTCCAACCAGCTCAAAATGTTGACTCCTTTTCTGAAAACAAGAGATTCTTGTTATTTTTACTTTGTTTATTTACTTTATAGTAGTGTTGTAGAACTCAACTCTGTCTCGTCTCAGTCATGACTTCATTTGCACTCAGTCTTGTCTCAGTATCGGGGTAAAGTGGACTCGGAAATTGTTATGGAGGCTAGCCGCGTGCGATGAGTCTGTCTGAGGTTACTGGAAGCTGAGTTATTATTAAATATCAACAAAACCAGAATAAACAGAATAAAACGGCCCTTCCTCTGCTTAGGGGTTCCCAAACTTCTGCATCTCGCAGCCCACACAAACGACGACAAAAGCTCCCGTGGGTTTCAGCGATCGGATCATCTTTTTCTCACTCTTAATGAGGAAGCTTGTTTGGCAGCTACCGAGTGCTGGATGTCAGGCTGAAGAGAGGAAAGCTGAGGAGTTCTCGCTCAGTTTGACTGGTTTAGATACATATTCACCTTGTTTAGTCCACGAGTGGTGGTGTAAATTGTTGGGGTTCAAGGCTTCATTTGAAAAGACCCCTGAGCAAACAACACAGAGCTGTAGTTACTCATTTTCAGTTCCCACGCAGGTGAAGCCCAGAGCCACGTATTCACTGCTGTATTTCCTTCCTTTTGGTTATGCTTACACCCTTTCATGCATGGTGTCCACGCCTGCGCACAGTTAATAATAGCTCTTTTTGAGGTGTATGCCATGTATTGTGTCCTTCAGATCGTTCAAAATGTAAAATTTTAAATTATAAACTGAGAATTAAGTAAAAATTTAGTACACAGTGAGGCTCAAATGAGGTAAACTGGTTAGCACTTTACTTGCTCAGCCTTAGAGGTGATATCAAACCTCGATATCTGTGGACTTTACCCACAATCCCCCCCATAACTCATTGAACCAGAATAGTCGGCTAATGCTGTTATTTTGACATTTTGATCCACACGTTAAAGGATATCCTCAACCAGATGCAGTGTTTCTGTGAAACACCACTAAATATAGCACACAAATTAAATGTGTATGTGTATCATCAATTCATCTGTCTCTTTCCCATGAACTTGGTTATGCAGTAGTTTCCCTTTAAGTTTTGTTTGTTTGCCTTTTAAACGCTTTTAAACTTCCTTTGAGAAACTGAACATTTTTTCCCCTGGTTGGTAAAATGTGACTTCTGTCCTATATTTTAGTTCAACTCCTTCTTGTTTTATTCCGGTTTATTTTAGCAGACGCAACCAAAAAGCTTCTTTGTGTAGTTGTGAGCTCAGAGCCCAGAGAGGAAGCCAAAGGTGACAGTGGTGAGGAAAAACTCCCTGAGATGCAATCAGGAAGATACCTTGACCAGAACCAGGAACCAAAAAGGGAACCCATCTTATTCAGACCAAAAGAGAAAAATGAGATTTTATAGTCCATGGCCGACCCCAGCTGCACGTGAGATTTTTTTAATGTAATGCACGTGGTTGAGATGTAAACATCATCAGTCATTTAGGCTGTTTTGATGGGAAACAGTTAATGGTAGAGAATCTTACTCACTCAGATTTCTTTACAGTGGTGGTGATAGGAACCAGGGGGCACAATGTCTACAACACAGATATAGCTTTATATACTATCCAGAATCAACAGTGAACCAGCACAGTTTTATATGTAATGTTCATGATGGTGAAGCAGTGGAAAAAAAAAAAACTTTTTCTTTGGGTACTAATTTGCCTTAAAGCATCCTGTATTTTATAAATCGTTGCCAGGCCAGTTGTGCCACAAAGAAAAAAAACCGCAGAATGTTTAACAGAAAGATATCCTTTGCTTCCTAAGAACCAGGCAAACTGTGGTAATGTGCAGGATGTTTTCCACTTTGGAAAAGAGAAAGGAACGTGAAGTTTCATTTGGAAACTGAAACTTCAAGCGCTCTTACACTTGGATGTTTGTAGCCCACATTGAGCCCCATTTGCGCTGGCTTTGGAGATTATAATCCTTTCGCCATTTGTTAAAAAAAAAAAAAGTTCCAGCTCCTGGCGGCACAGCTGATCTGTCATCTTGGTTTCTGCCATGCCAACAGCAGTGACGACCATGATAGGTCAGACAGTTCATGTCACCAGCAAACATTTCCAAAAATCAAACAGAGGGCAAATAAAATTTAGGTTGCATTTTTGTCACCCAAAAAATTGCTTTTGGTGTTTATATATTAGTTTATCATCCCAATAAATCGCACAAATCACGCTTGGTATGTAAATGCTCTCAGGCCAAAAGCTTATTTCAGAACTTCCAAAAAGTGATTGGTTTTATACAAAATCATTGTATAATACATAACCATAACTATATTTTGAGTAGTATGTCTTTGTGAGGGAGGTTTCAAAGGTCAGACGTCTGGTTCCCATCACCACCACTGTGAACAGTATAATGTATAATACATAACCATAACTATATTTTGAGTAGTATGTCTTTGTGAGGGAGGTTTCAAAGGTCAGATGTCTGGTTCCCATCACCACCACTGTGAACAGTTCTGACTCTGTTTCTCTAGAACAGAGCATTTCACACCAAACCACTCTCAATGACTTTGTTTACATCTTAACCAGTTAATTGGAAATTAATTATTGGAGAAATATAGAAAACTGAGTGGAACTTCTCTTTAAATTCTATAATGATGCCTGAAGACTGTTGAAAAGAGTTCATCTGTGCTACACTAATGACCACTGATGAAGGGCTAGAAGAAAAAAAAAGGACATTTTTTCACATTAAAAATGGGATGCCTTAACCTTTACATCTACAGAGATGAATCATTGCTTTTAATGTATGCATTATGTTAAGGATAACCAGGCGCTTTTGAGCTTTTTTGGCCTAGAACGCAGTCAGCTGTTTCCTGATTGTTCACCTTAACCACCATAATCACAAATCACCATAACCAGCACTAATCAAAACCTCCCCTTCACTTCTAAAGCATGTAATCAGTGTGTCAACAGTGGCACCTGTGGAAAAAGCTGATAACACCATTTTTCCATGCATGATGGCCTGTACTTACCCTTTCATACCTGTAATTGTTTAGATGCTTCTGTGCAGTTTCACACCTCTGTTTTGATGGCCGCTTGCGTTCAAAAGTGGTGTTCTGTGGTCTGGGATAGCATCAGTGCTGAGTCAGTGGAGCTAATGAAGAAATAGTTGACTGGATGATGTAAAGGTAGAGTCAGAAGGGGATTCTTTCACCCTGCGTAGTAAAATATTGAGACCTGGAGGTCAGACGCATGTAAAAGTGTTGTTACTTGAAGCAACGCGATTAGAAGCTTAAGAAGGTCACTTAAGTACCGAGTAACAACTCAGTCCATCTGGCATCTGTCAGCATAGAAGCCGAAGATTGTTAGATATTATTCTTCTTCTTTTTTTTTCCTCCGTTTGAAATTCAGCCCGAGTGTGGGAAAGGGGCATGGTTATGCAGTACTAAGATTGGCATCACCAGCAATAACAAAAACAGGGTGTCGTATTATATGAATTATTTCTGACTCATGGCTTTGTGACACAGTGGAGAAATTTAGTGGAATTCTGTCTTTCAGTTCCTGTCACATTTGTGTTATTAAGTAGAAGAGGAGATATTTTGGTATCATTTGAATTTGACGAATAATTATTGTTGTGTAAAGACTTGTTTTCAGAAGGGAAAAAACATATTTGAAATTTTTGGCATGTTTTTTCTCAATTTTCTTAAAATGATCATCAATTCAATCATATATATAATTTACACACAAATGCTGAATTGAATTTTCGCTGTTCATCAGTACTGAAGAGCGTGTGCCTGTGTGTGTTCATCAGGGTGAAAAGGAGTGTTTGACGTCAGAGACGTGTGAACTGAAGCAGAAGGTTCGGTACCTGCAGGATCAGCTGGTTCCTCTCACTAAGCAGAGAGAGTACCAGGAGAAGGAGATCCAGCGCCTAAATAGGGTCAGTGTCAGCACACACACACACACACACATATACACACACACACATATATATACACACACACACACACATTTCTGTTGCTATCACTGTCATAAATGCCCACTGAGCCCTGTTTCAATCTTACTATAGGCTTTTTAGATAAGAGCAAATCTTTTATTAACCAAGTGATCCTGACGAGCCCGGTGCTGGGCCTCAAAAAACGGTGCTGGGCCTCAAAAAACTCCCAAAAAACCCCCCCAGAGGAGATGCGTTGAATGCACTTACCCATTGGAACTCTCACGGTAGAGAATGTGCTTATTGGAAGCGCCATGTTTTTTTTTCTCCCCCCACACAAGCTCCTTTAGAACAGAATATGTATCAATAAGCACTTACTATTGATGTGCTTGATCAGAGTAACAATAGAGCACAACAGATATGTGAAATATATTCATATTCAGATGTTTTCTTGTTTTTAAATGGTAGCTTATGACACAAATGGGACAAAAAAAATCATAATTCTTAGCTTTCCTCGTTCACGTTCTTTACATATCAAATAAATGCTACAACAAGAGAGTGATTAACGCAAAAGATTAAATGGCACAAATAGCTCCTCTTTTGAATCAGCCTTAAATGGTTATAGTCTAATGCAGTGTCCATTTAGTAAGTGACTGTGTGTTTCTCTGTGTTTGTGTGTGTTTGCATGTATGTGTTCCAGGCTCTGGAGGAGGCGCTGAATCTGCACTCTCCCTCGTCTCAGTCCGGGATGAATCTGGGAGAAGGAGTTCTAAACCTGCGCCAGCAGGAACTACACACACAGATCGCTGTGCTCAAAGAGCAGGTGTGTACGTGTGTGTATGTTTGTGTGCATGTGCTCAGAGTGAATGTGAAAGTATGAAACTGATGGTCCTGTGGATTTAAGGTTTCTGTTTCAGTCCGCGAGGTCCTCAGGTACTCTCCACTTTATTATTATTATTATTATTAGCCTCTCCTGACACACCTTGGTCAACATACCTCAGTGAGGTGGAACACAGTTGTGTTGACAGCTTTTATAAGACAAAAACATTGACCTTCTCGGGTTCATGGGAAGCTTCTGGTACTCGTATTTTGGGAACAGTTTGTCTCTGTCAAGGTTTGCCTTGAAAAAGCTTGATTGGCCACATACAGCAATGGAAATATGTAGGTAGATGTCTTGAGCCATCACATTTTATCTAGTAGTGGTTTGTGTTGTTATATATAGCATATAGTATGTAACATTCTTTAGAAACACTCTTTGAAAGGGAGGAAAACGCTTCACTGTGTTAGTGCTCGGTAGTGGTTTTCCTGCTAGGGAAGGGCAGTATGACAGCATTTTATCGTTATCGTAATAAGTTGCATATTGTGTGTATCGCCAGTGCTTGAAGAACACTGAACACATGTGTGTTGCATTACAAAGAGAACATAATTAGCCCTGTTTAACCAGAATGTACTCTGTGAAATGCTGAATAGTTACATTTACGGCTTTCAAAGCCATTTTTTTTAAATTGTGGCACTTCTCGTTTCTTTTTTTGTCTGTTCCAACTAATCAAACCTCAGACGTCTTGTGATAACATGTCAGTCGTCATCGTATTGTATCAGTATGTAATAATGCAGTGAAGTTAGTCTCATGAGTGTCATTCTCTTGTGAATGTATGTTTCAGGTGAAAATCTTCGAGGAGGATTTCCGAAAGGAGCGCAGCGACAGGGAGCGAATGAACGAGGAGAAAGAAGATCTGAGGCGGCAGGTGGAGAGGTTACAGGGACAGATGACCAATCTGACCAATCAGGTTAGCAGCTGTTCAGGATGATCAAATAATAATAATAATAATAATAATAATCATCATCATCATCATCATCAAATAAATATAATCATAATAAAAATAATGATAATCGTTCAATGCAGAGTTTTAGTGGTTTTCTTAATATTACATGACTGTGGTACGTCCCAGTCTCTCTTAACCCTTTAAATTCTTCTCTTGTTATTTATTTATTGATCTTAAACCCCATTTTAAACTGTAGTAATTGTACCAGAGGAGGCCCAGTAATGTGACTTGCTGGGATTTGACTTATTGGTTTGTATTGCATAAAGTATCTGTTATTTCTCCAAATACCCCAAGTAGCCTGTATTGAAATTTGACAACCAGACGTTCAGTTCAGCGTTAACTATAAGCGTAAAATGAATGTAACTGAACGAGTACAAACATCATCTGTCCATCAAATGGAATAGCTTTATGTTAGTGAACTGGGCTCGTTTGACTAACCAAATGTTGCCCAACAGGAACGATTTCGCACTGCCCTGTGAGAGGCACTTTCAAAATATTTCACTTTCATTTTCCTTCTAATTAAGTCATAACCAAGATTACTGTGGATTACATCAGACCTGTTTTAAACCTGAAGACGAAGGAGCTGTACCAAATCAGTCTCCACTTTAGTGGTTAATCTTCTCATTGCTGTAAACAGAGGAGTCGTTTTCTATTACTCAGTATTATGACAATGCAGTGAGGTTGATTCAAACAGGACTACTGTTACTGAGGGAGCTCTGAGGTATTATAATAATTTTCGCAAATTAAAAGCGCTGATGCCCTTTTTGAGCTGGATTAGTTTTACCTGCGGAGGTGCTGTAATTTGAGTGATTACCGATGAACATAATTTCCAAAAAAACAGGTATTAGAAAATGGCACTTCTGTTTTTGTGACAGGAAGACAAGGCTATCCGCTATAAGGGTGCTTGATTTGACCCAGTTCATTAATCCTGACGTTTATGACAATCCACAACACTTTCGGTGATGGCCGAAAAACAAGGAGAAGGAAAATTGAATATCTTGAAGGTACCTCTCGCAAGGCAGTGTGTTTTCTGTCTTGCTGGGCGGCAGGTTCTTAGTTTCACTTCCACTGCACTTTGATCAGTCACCAAAAGGATATGCTATGATTATGTGTTATAGTTTCGGATAGCCATTGATAACAGGCATCCGGTGTCGTGCTTTGGGGTTTATTTTTGCTGGCAAGTACTGACATAAATGTCTGCATGATGATGTTTCGATCGGGGCTATTTGGGGTAATATTACCTTTATCCTGTACGAATCGGCCAGTCAATTCTCACACAGATTACGTTACCTGATCTCCTCTGGTACAACTAATCCAGTTCGAGTAAGGCTTAAAACTGATCCAGCTCCAATAGAGCTTTATTTAGTAACTACTAATGAATTGTTCAGTAAGCACTATGAAGCTAATGTATCAGTGGTGTATTTCTGAGAGGGATGGCCAGAAGTGTGGTCCCACAAACAGACTCTTGGTATTTAAAGCACAGGGGAAACACTCTTTTAAAAAAGATGGTTCTTCAGGGGTTCTTTACTAAAGATAATGATCTATGAACACCCAGTAGCCCCTTTGCATTATGAAAGGGCTCTTCAGATTAATGGACAACATGCTATACAATATGTAACTTTTTTGAAAAGGCTTCTATGTACCACCAGAAAGAGTTGTTCTATTGTTATTATGTCAAGCTTGTAACAATGGAAGAACCCTTTCTGGTGCTATATAGAACTCTTTTCAAAAAGGTTCTATATAGAACCATCTATAGCAGGTTGTCCATTAATCTGAAGAACCCTATCATAATGCAAAGAAGCCTTTAATCATACAAAGGGGTCTTTGAGTGTTCATGGTTCTATATAGACCCATTTTCTTTGGTAAAGAACCCTTGAAGAACCAAGTACCAAGTGTGTAGTGTTATGCAGAAGAGAGATACTTATCAGTACTGACAGAGCCAGCAGTGAAGTTGGTGGTTGTGGTGGTGGTGTGTTTAGTGTTTATAATGCTCTTATAAACAGCTTGTTTATAACATTAATCAGCAGAATTTTTAATGACATACAGTCAATGATTAGTGAGCCGTTATTGTCATTCACATAGTACAGTTTGCTTAAGTTCACGGTCAAGTTGTGAAATCGCTAAACGCAGAGCGAACTGCTCAAATAGCAGAGATCTGCTTCAAAGAGATACGGCTGCACCTGGAGGAAAAAACAGCCGAGCTCAGAACCTTTACACAGACTTGTTATTGATTTTATGCTGCTCTGTGTTTGTGTGTAACTCAGCTCCACCAGGCGCAGAATGAGTGTCAGAGAGAGAGGGCAGAGCGCTGTAAACTGGAAAGACTGCAGATGCAGCACAATAAGCAGGTAAGGCATCTACGCCCTCTGGTGGTCAAGGTTATTATTGTAAAGCAGGGGTGTCGAACTCAACCAGTGAAAGGACCATATTAGAAAATCTAATCAAATCTGTGGGCTAGAGAAAAAAATGTTTTTATTTCTTTTTTAATTAATGTTGTTCTTTACCCCGAAATGGCCATTGTTTATTTAAAATATCCAAACACTTCCAACAGTTACACTTACAGATACTTGTAGTAGGCCTTAAAATATTACGTGGACACTTGAAATACTCAGAATTTAAATGTCCCCAGGGGCTCGGTCTTTTAGCCCTGCCTATTTGCTTGATCTAGACACCTGGCATCCTTTCTTTGCTGCAAGTTCATCAAGACTTGGGCTCAGTTTCTGAGCTGCTTAGCTGTTAAGTGTTTATATTGGTTGAACTACAGCTGAATTGCATTTTGGTGATATGACTGGTGTGGAACTGTGCATACGTTTGTAGAATTGAGGTGTAACCGCTGTCGTATAGACTGTTGTTGGGGACTATAGTGCAGCATATTGTGAAACGGGCTCATATTAATAGAAAATTAAAATACTTTTGCAGGCTGGATAGGATTGTGTGGTGGGCCTGATGTGGCCTTGTGTTTGACACTTGGGTTGTTATCAGAATCGAGTCAAAATTTGAAGGTTTTATTCTTTAACTTCAGGCTGTGAGTTTCTCTTGTTGTCAGTATAAATTCCAGTCAAAAAAAGTGAAAAAGAATGGATGAGTGGATCAGATACAGCAGTTGTACAAGGTTATAAAGTGCATATCTACAATATGTACTGTTAAAAAATGCGAGCAGTTTATGATCCTGCTGCGACTCCTGCAGCTTGAAGTCGCATTTTGTGTATTTATTTATTTTTTTGTGTGTGTGTTTTGGAGGGGCAACCGGAGAGAAGGACCTCTGACCCCACCTCGGGCTCTGCTAACGGCCCGCTGAGCCCACCCTACTGTGGCCCGTTTGTGCAGGTGGGTCACCAGGGCCTGGAGGGCTGGCCCATCCACTTCCCACCTAGGATGCCCACCCTGAGCACAGCGCCCGGCAGAGACTTCCAGCCCGTCAACCCGGTGAGAGCTAGTGTCTCTGAGTTAATGTAGCACTGGTTTTCACTGCTCTACTGTGCTACTGTTCACACGTTCGGAAACACGATCATATTAATCTTTTCTGTTATTTTACATACAATAACAACTTGAAGATAATTAGACAGCATAATATGTCAAGTATTTTGGGACAAACAATGGAAAATAATATACTAAAATGATGTACAATGTTTTTTTTGTCAAGTTTTCTGAGTGGATACTTGTTCATCACTTCTGAAATATGAGACATTGTGGATATTTACTATAACTTAAAGGGCCCATGTCTATTTTCTAGTATTTTACTTTTCACTTGGGGTCCAGTTGTGACATTTCATATACCAAAAATGTATGAAATCTGGTACATATATGACATTTATGGTCCACTTGAAATATTTTATGTAGTAAAAAAAGTCATATTTCATTTTTACTTGTCCATTCTTCAGTTTCTCTTTAAACGTCATATGGGCTGTTTTGTCATTGTGCTTTTAAGAATGATATAAGATAAATAATCTCTATTCTGATTGGCTGCCCTGTAATGCACCCCTTTCAAACAGCACTCTGAAACACTTCTTACAGCTTAGAACTGAGCTGAAACACTTCTTACAAGTTTGGCATGAGTGGGCAGAGCTAAAGGTCTGTAGGGTGAATAGGTGGATATATTTAAATGATTTGGTTCTTGGGACATCACAGAATTCAAAACAAGGCTGTTTTTGCAACATAATGTATACATATGGACTGGAGAGTGAATGGGATGTTTTAAAGCTTTAACAAATTGCTTAACTACTTTATTATAAATAAGATTCATTAATTCTAAATGCTTTGCAGCTTCCTGAGTCCTTTAAAAATCATCTACAGTTCTTTTTGTCAGCTAAAGGCACAAAGTGGAAGGTCATTGTTCTCAGTGGGCAGTGAATGAGTTGCATGTTATGGAAGCAGAAGTCTGAGAGTCTGTTATTGTCTGTGTATGTGTAGGGTTTTCCTTGGCAGTCATCATTCCCTCCGCCGCGAGGTTCCAGAGGACAGGCAGACCCGGCAAGAGCCCCTCCAGAGAATGCAGGTACACACATACACATACAGAAGTGCTGCTGAATCTATCAAGCATTTTCCCTACCTTATTTACATTCTGTTAAATAGGGCTGGCCCGAATCATGTCGCTAGTATTTGTTTAGTACGTTTCTCAATTCACAAACATTGTAGCCTAAACTACTGCTGATTTGAGTTGTTCTGTCTCCGGTACACACTATTAATAAGACATCGGTGCTGCCTAGTGGATATATGTTGAACTGCAGCAGCAAACATATTAAAAAAATATTGTTTAATAATGACGTTAAATATTGTTGTTTTTAAAGGCGAATTGCACAGAGATTTTTATACATCTTTAAAATTAAATAGTGAAGATGTAAACAAAGTCATTCAGAGCAGTTTGATGTGAAATAAGACATTTTAGACGAACAGAGTCTGAATTGTTCATTGTTGTGGCGAATGGAACCAGATGTCTGCAGTGCTTGATGCACCTGTAAGCTAACTCGCAGACCTTTATTACACAAAGTTGGTAAAAATACACTGTTGTCACAACTAAAACATTGTTAACTTTTTATGTAACTTAATTCAAAGAGGTTTTATTCGGTGTGATTTTAGACCAGAGATGATATAGTAAAATAAAAAATGACAAAAATATATATATATTTTTTTTAAAGCAACGACATAAAATCTGTTGTAGGTTCACTGGTGGTTTTGGACAGTAAATAAAATGTCTATATTTGTGTTGTAGACATTGTGACGTCTGGTTCCTATCACCAGCACTGTAAAGAACTCTGAGTCTGTACGCTTCTCATTGAACCATTTCACACCAAACCACTCTGAACGACTTTGCTGGTCTCAACAATTAAATTCTGCAAAAAAAAAAAAAAAACATTCTTCAACGGTGGTTTTGAGCTACTCGGGTGTTTGGAAAGTATTTGAAACCAATAATGTTATTCGGGTCAGCTCTACAAGTAAAGATGACGCCTCATTTTTACACCTGATTGTGTTGTACCGTGTTTAATCTGATGTGTTGTGTGCTGTTTTGCTGCTGTGGGCAGAAGCAGGAGCAGCCGGCTTTGGAAAGCGCGAACGCCAGACTGCGGACCCTGGAAAGCACTAACAGCTTCAACCCCTCTCCACTGGCACCCAGCTAGTAGCATGATGCCATTTTTCTTTCATTTGGCATGGTGTGATCTCCCCCCCAATGTGTGTGTGTGTGTGTGTATATATATATATATAAATATATATCTCTCTCCAATGAAATGTTGTTTATATACTTAAGTTTTATAAGCCTATTTGTGAAACACTGTTCTTGCAAATTACGAATATATATATATATATATATATATATATATATATATATATATATATATATATATTACCTTTTTAATATTAAGGGTTAACTCTGCTTTATATATACACAGTAATTCTATGCAGAATTAAAGTCAGTTATTTAATGGATGAAAGGATCATTTAAAAAAAGTAAGACGATATACCTGCAGAGTTGAAAGAGGACCAGTAAAAGAAATGGTTGTTTAACCACTTCAGTTTATTTACTGACACACTGAAATCAAGAGTGTAGCCTTTCTGTCTATATTGATGAATAAAAGACATGGTTATTCTGAAGAACTGCTTTCTGGCACTTGTGAGCTGATTTGAAGACAGACAGTGGTTGAATTACAGCTGTCCTGTAACTCTGTAGGTAAATTGTCTTGGAAATGTTCCACAGTAGAATGTATCTCTATTTATTCAATGGCCAACGTCGTGATGGCCACTCTTTATTTTGCGTATCCACACGCCGGTCACCAGCAAGTGACTTAATACCCATCATCTGCCCTTCACTTACAAAAGCCATATACAGCACTTCTCAACCTTTTACATTTTGGGACTTCTGTGTGATTGAAACAAAAGTGTAACAGATTCTTAAAGGGGAATTCCACCAATCTTTCAAAAATTCTGCGTAATTCAATCGGTGAGATGTAAACAGTCTTTCAGAGTGGTTTGAGGTGAAATTGTTCAGTGTAGACAAACTTGTATTTCTTTACAGTGGTGGTGATGGGAACCAGGCGTCATGAGGTCTACAAGGCAAATATTGCCATATGTAATGTTGATCTTGATAAAATAGTGGTAAATCTGTTCTTTAGGGACTCTTTTGCCTTCAGCATCCACCCCAACTTCTCTACAAAGGCAAACTACTCTGAAAGACGTTGTTTACATAAATTAACAATTTAATCATGCAGAAATTTTGAAAAATTGATGGAATTAAAATTATTTGTTATGAAGTGAATCGAGAGGTCATATGATGAAGGCTTTTTACCCTTCATGTTGACGGTTCTGAAGTGGATTCCTACTGTTGCAAATGAGATGTGATGAGAAATTCTTTTATATTCTGCTAGTTTCCTACATTCGCAGTGATGATGGCGTGTGGTTCATCGTCCTAGTAATGCTGTTCTTTGTGTACTGTTTATGTCTCCCTTATATACTATATCTGTGTGAAGACTGGTGGTGTGACTGTGTTGGCTGTTCTGCTGACCCAGTGACATACAGTGGGCCAAAAACAAAAAAAAAACAAACAAAAAAACCCTGATTCCATGTGAAAGCAGCTCATCTGTCTGTCCATGCACTCTTATCCCTTCATTTAGAGCACCAGAGGAGAATGATGATGCTCCCTTTAAAGCAAAGGGTCCAAAGATATCGTCCCAAATTTGAGCTGAGATTTTTTGGGGAATCCTCCAGCATCTTTCAACCTAACCTCCATTAGCCCATTGAAGCAAGTGCCCATTGAGTTCCTTTGTAACTATGTTGTTGCACTGGTTTTCTGTTCTTTTACGAGGAAGAGTTATTGTGATAATCATTTGTGTGCTGCAGATGAAGCAGATCAAGCAAGTTGAAAACATGTTGGAGTTTCTCTTCAAGCCACACTTTCACCCCTTTTACCCTTTGGTGTGCTGCTCAGACTCATGTTGATAGGGACTCCATTTAACGTGTTTGCTTTGAAGTTGTTGGCCTCTAAGGATCTTATCTTCCTAAACTGTTTGCTGAAAGCGTGATGCAACATTTATCATGTGTAAATATTAGTGACATTGGACAGGCCTTTCTATCGAACATGTGCTTGAGTAGAAACAGTTGAGCGGATTACGTGTCAGTGTGTAGGAGCTGAAGTGTTCTGTGAGCTCAATGGCACTTTGGGATGTTTTGCTATTATTTATCGGTCACTGTAATTTACTGGTTGGTAGTTTTGTGCTTTTTTCGGAGTGAACTTTCTTGCCCCCTGATTAGGCGAAAGCACATCTCAAGTGAATCTTTTATATTTGATTAGCATAATAAATATATTCTTAATGTCCCAACCTCCAGAATGTGTTCGTAAGCGCTACGGTTCTCCAGCAGAAGTTACCTAAAGGTCGATTTGCGATGCCTCAATGTATTTAAAACATGTAAAGTTACTTGGACTCACTTTGTAACGCGTAACAAGGCTTTGGCGGAATGCAAAAAAACTTCAGTGTGTCTAACAAGTAATAAAAAACAGAGGGGACCATTTAGAACATCTCAAAACTGTGAAGTTTTTCTTTAACCGTGTGAGTGGGGATCTGCATGCACCAGCAAAACAGCAGTACCACATTAAAAAAAATGAAATGATTAGTTTAATCATAAGTGTGAATAACTGTTTGTTTTTACATCTTTAAATTTTAAAGTATATATATATATATATATATATATATATATATATATATATATATATATATATATATAGTTTTAAAAATGTTAAACATTATTATTTCAGCATTTACCAAATTGAACTATTTAAGACGTGTCCTAATATTTATTTTTTAAAACTTTGTGATCAAGGTGGACCAGACAAAATGCAGCAGCAGAACAGCAGCACTACATTAAAAAGATGGAAAAAACAGAAATAATAAGTTTAATCATGTGTGAATAACTTTATTGTAAAATTTATTTTTTTGTAAATGTTTAAATTTAATTTTTAAATGTTCAATTTTTTTTCCTGCCCCTTGATTAGGCGAAAGCACATTTCATGTAAACCTTTTAATTTGATGACCATAATAAATATGCTCTAAAAGTCCCAACCTCCAGATAATAGCAGATTGGCCTTTAGAATAAAAAAATAATGTAAATTTAATTTAATTTAAAAATGTATTTATTTTAACTGATATTACATTGTAAATTTGTAAAAACAATTTTGAATTTAAAATTTTTCAAATTGCTAAATTTTCCAATTATTTTAAATTTAATTTTTACAATTCATTTTATTTATTTCTATAAATTATATTTATTTTTACATTTTATATTTTACTTTTTTTTACATTAAAATTGTAAAATGTTACATTCATTTTTAAATTTTAATATATATATATATATATATATTAAAGTTATACATTATTATTTCAGCATATACATGACTAAGATGGGGAAACTTAAAAAAGAATCCAATCAATTAAAAAAATGCAATAATGTCTTAATTGACTGACATCCAGTCAGTAACTGTGCAGTTCATTCCATCACTGTAAACTGGCTGTTGATCACAAGCTCACTGTACAAAGTCTAAATCGGTCATTTTTAAAACGATATGTGCTGCTGTTCAGAGTTAAGTAAATACAGAGTGAATTTCCAAAAAAAAGAACAAGGTACAACGTCTTGCGCTGAAAACTTTATTGACAGGATGTCCAGACAGGCTTGAGCAGGGCTGAGTGGTCAGGCCAGGAGGATGGACGTGGCTAAAGGGAAGCAGCAGAGCAGCCTGAATGCACTGAAGAGCCGCTCTGGCCCCGAGCCTCCGGTCAGGCTTTGCAGAGAGTCTGCTTTCAAACCTGACCTTCATCAACACATCCCATCTCCAGCTCCACCAGCCAGCCCTGCCGGGTGACCTGACTCACTCTTCTCCTCAGTCTAAAGCAGCATTCTTCACAGCCAGTCCTGAACGGTGACGGAGCTGGACAGTTCAGAGGTTTCCTCACCCAGACAGGCCTGACTCGGTTCACCAAGACCTGTTCAGCTCTGTGGCCCTTCAGGACTGGAAGTGAAGAACCTTGTAATTCTCTCATTTATAAAAGGTTGTTTTTTTGACATTGTGGTTCACTGGAACATGGTAAATAGACACAGAACAGGATTAGTCTAAATCATATTAGATTCTGGAGTCGATTAGTGTTTGGAATACTGTTGACTGAACAGACGGATGATCTCGTTTCGGACTTCAGAGACTTTCACCCTCGGAAACCACCTCATCAAAGGCTTCCCGTTCGGTCCGACCAGAAACTTCTCGAAGTTCCACTTAATGTCGCTGACCTTCAGCGGATCCCAGAACAGCCTGTTGGTGGGGTTCCCGAAGCTGTCGCCCACAGGTGGGCAGGCGTTCTAGAGAGAGAAGGAGGGAGGGAGGGAGAGGGAAAGGATTACATTAATCCCACCTTAATTTAAATCCCACTCAGTCTGCCAGGTGGGGTTTCGAATAAAGTAAAGCCTTAAAGCATCTACGTTTCAGGGCAGCGCTGATAAAAGGATTAGATGAAACACTGCCTGGTCGCTGTTACTGAGCAGACATCTATAGCTGTGGCTATACAATGGCTGCTTTTTCAGTTCAGCTTATATGATCTGTTATAGTCCTGGGTCAAAGAAGGTTAAAGGGGCAGTTCAGTGACAAAAACACAAACCAGTCCACCAATTTTTTCCACATTTCTGCATGAACTGCAGTCGTTCAGATTGGTTTGAAGTGAAATACTGTTACAGAGAAAGGAACAGTCATGATTGTTCACACTGATGGTGAGAGAAACTAGACGTCCTTGACTCTTGATTAGGCGAAAGCACATTTCATATAAACCTTTTACTTTTGATAACCATAATAAATATATATCTCCCAACCTCCAGATAAAAGCAGATTTGCAATTTTTAATTTCATTTTAAAATTTTTATTGAAAAAAAATCCATTTGAAATTAAATTGGTTTTGCATTTGAATTCTTTACCTTTTGTATATATATATATATATATATATATATATATATATATATATATATATATTCAGTTGTTACATTTATTTTTAAATTTTAAAATATATTTTTCTAAAAACTGAGAAACTTGACAGACAGAGCAGCATGGTGGCGCAGTGGGTAGCGCAGTTGCCTCACAGCAAGAAGGGCCTTGGTTTGATTTCTGGCCAGGTGGCCAGGTTCCTTTCTGTGTGGACTGTCAGGCCAATTGGACACGCTAAACTGTCCCTAGGTATGAATGTATATGTCTGTCTGCCCTGTCCAGGGTGTTTCCTGCCTTCCACCCAATGGCCGCTGGGATAAGCTCTGGCACCCATCGGCCCAGAAGGATAAATGGTTTTGAAAATGTGTGTTGAAAACTCACTTAAAAAATCCAATAAATTAGTGATTAATAAGATAGTGGCTCGGTTGGCCGACACCCAATCAGTGACTGTGCAGTTCATTCCATTACGGAGTCAGAGTTGTTCACAGTTGATGCGAACCAGATGCCTCTAAAAGTAATTACACAAAATGTTACACAGCCAGACATGGTAGAGTAGCTGAAATCTATACTCAAAGGTGTTTTTACTACTGATACTGATAACAAAGCAATGACTCAAGTAAAAGTAAAAGTCACTTCCCAAAAACAACTTGAGTAAAAGTACAGAAGTATGAGTTGAGTAACTTATAGAACCTCAGTGGAGCTTCTTACAACATCCAGCATCTTATCAGCACGGAACCTGAAGACTGTACAGCTCTATTCTTCTCTTTTTCTGATTCTTTTGGTCTAAAATAAAATGGTAAAGCTCTAGAACCTGAGGCGAGATCACAAAGCGGATCAGATGTCACCAACAAAACAGAGTAATTCAATGCAGTAAAAGAATTAGTGACCAAATATGAATGACTACAATGTAAAAAGCTCCTTTAGTCACTAATATATTTGAGTAGAAGTAAAGAGATCAGGATTATGAGCACAAATTCACCAGTATTTCACTTAAGTACACAAAGCTCAGTAAATGAGACTAAGCAGCGTGATGATCAAGACAATGAGTGTGTTTTCATGCACTCAATAATCCGATCATAATCGGATTTCTGCAGTTATCCGATTATTCAAATGGCTATGTAAACACCATACTACGATCTAGACATCTGATTAAGAAATCTGATAAAGAGAGCTGGATTTTAGCCCAGTAATCAGATTTCTCAGTGCGTGTAAACTCTTACTCTGATTTCTTTCGGATTTCTCAGTCTGCACATGTGTGAAAACAGACGCCGGTACCAGAAATAAGTAAGCAGCGTTGCAGCGAAACACTTTGGAGCGACGCGGAAACCAAATCCATTCTTGACGAAATGAAGGATTTAAATATTCTTCATCTTCTAGATGATGTATGTTCATATAAATTGGGCGATGTTTAAAAAAAAAGAAAAAAGCCTGGGTTTTCGATTATTAATCCGATTATTGCCTGACTCTTAAAGACCTCAAGATTCCCCTATTATCTGATTACTCAAGTGCATGTAAACGTGTTGATTGGATTACTGACAAAATCTGATTTTCTACAGTTATCGGATTATTAAGTGAATGTAAATGCCGTTAAGACTTAAGTAGAAAGGTCTTTACCTTCAGGAAGGTGAACAGGCTTTGCTCCTTCTCTCCATTCACATTGCCTTTTTCAAATAGCTGGAAATTTGGAACGAAGCCGTCGCCTGGACGGACATGCCTGTGAATGCAAACAGAAAGTTGGTAAAGTGCTGTAGGTGTGTCTCCAAGGCAAACAGAGTCTAACTGGGCGTCTAACACCATGGAAGCATCATTCAGGATGCTAACTAGGTCAACATAGAGCCGAGGCCAAAGGAACTTGGCCACCAAAATGTAATTAATCACACCAGTGAAAAGTCACATTTAACCCAAACACAGCTGGTCAGATGTTTACAGATGTTTTCTGTACTAGTTTTGCTCTGGAGCTACGAGGCTAATGTAGCTAACAAGTAATGGAGGCTTAAGCCACATCGATTAGAATGATGCAACATAATTCCAAGGTCTATTTCTGAACCCTTGGGGGGGCCTGATCAGCACCTACACAAGGGGTCTCATTCACACACCAGCAATCATGTTCTTTTGTCTGTAAGAGTAGAGCAAGAATGCAAGATGTATGCAAAAGTGTGAACACCCTCAGTCAAGTTCTGTTCATTTGCTGAGTTTAACATGTTGAAAAATAACTTAAAATGTGCCATAACTTTTGCACAGGCCACATTTTATGTTTTGTTTAATTTTCTAATCTGTTAAATTCAGCAAATAAACAGTAACTATGCATTAAAATGTGCAGAAATTTGTAGAGATGCTTATTTTCACTTACATCAACAAATTTAATTGGGACTGGGTGTTTCCAAACTTCTACATAACATTATAGTTATTTAATTTTAATAAAGAAACCATGTAAGAAAATCTCTACATCCACTGTGTTTCTCACAAATAATATTAAATTAAAGGTCTCTTTTGGTTTCTGGTGGTGGTAGCAAACAACAGCTGCCTTAAAGCCTGAATTTTGTCTGCACATTTGTCCGTTTTTATAGATAACTGTGAGTCATACAGTGTCTGAAACCACATAATAATAGATACTGAACAACTCGACATGGTTCGAGGGGTGTGTGTGATGATTTAGGCATGTAGTTAGCACCATGCTAACTGACGAGCATGAGCTTCCAGTACTTGTTAGCTACGTTACCTTCACAAAAAAGTATACTTAAAGTTCATTTTATTAAGTAAACATAAATACAGTTATATTTCCCCAAGTATACTTTATGTACTAAGTATACTAATATCAGTGTACTATTTCAATACTGGGACTTAATTGGCCCACTTTTGCATGTAAGAGTAGTAAACTTTGAGTAAACAATCCGTTTACATCTAGGTTTTTATTTTGTACTGCAACTATACAGTGCACTATACTAAAAGCGAACGTATAGTACTGTTTACTAGTTATATACTTCAGCCCACTTTTTAGTTTATGAAAGTATAGACTCTCACTAAACTACTAGTTTAATAGTTTTACACTGCAAGTATACTTGTAAATTTTCTTTACATTAATTTAACATAACAGAGTTGTTGGAAGAAAACCTTGTATCTCCAAAATGGTGACTTTACAGGAGAAGAAAAAACATAGTTTACTTTTAATGTAAGTCAATGGAACCAGACTTTTAGGCTGTTTCTTTTGGTCCATTCATCATGAAATTTACACACAATGTAAAGAGCAACAGGCAATTTCAAATAATGCCAAAAACTAAAAAAATGACAAAGATGGAGATACGAGGTTTTCTTCTGACAACAGCGATAATACTTATAATTCACTAGCTTATATATCATTTTTTTGCACTTTAAAGTATACGACTAGGTTTCTGTTTAGGTATTTTTTATGCTTGAAATATACCTTGAACTGTATTTTAGGTACCTGATGTTAAATAATATGAACATTCACACATATAAACAAATGATACTCAGGATTAGAAACATATTTGTTTTCTTTGTAAATGAAAAAATGATCAATAAATATTGTATTTGATGCCAAATTATAAGAACATAAGAGCTCAAATCGACGTTCTAGTTCAAAACAAAACACAACAAACACACAGTTTGATGTCATGGGATTTCTGTCATGCAGCCTCTCTGAAATCTACAGAAGTCCAGAGAGGCCATGTGGTAGTTATCATTTTCTGGATTGTTATCTTGAGATAACAAGTTAACTATTTTGGGATCTCAAGATAACGAAGTTGTTGAGATATAGAGCTATTTATCTTGTGCTGTCAAGATAACGAAGTTGTTATCTTGAGATAAGGAGTTGACTATCTTGTGATCTCAGGATAACGATCCAAAAAAATTCTAGCAACAGCTCATGGCCTCTCCAGACTTCTGTAGAAATCAGTCTCTGGCTGCCCACAAACAGGTTGTACTTCTCTACAATTTGCATAAAAGATCGGGTTCAGCTCCACCCGTGTATTATTTACACTAAGCTATTCCGCCCCAAACTACACACCAAGTATACTTACACTTTATCACTTTATGTACAGGGCAAGAATGCTTAATTATACTTTTCTTAAGCACATCTCGATAAAGAAATTAGGAAACAAACACAAGCCAAATGACTTAGACTTGTCTGTATACTTGTCAGTATAAACCAAGTATACTTAAGTATAACTTTGTTTAATATTTTAGTATTTAGTACTTTTACTACTTTCATAAGTACATTAAAAGTAAACTGAAAGTGCACTCACCTAATTTTAGGTTAAACATAAGTATACCAATAGCACTAATTTGAATAAACGTCTTTTTTGTAAGTGTAGACTTGTAGCTAAAGTGCAAAACTAAAGAATCACCAAATATGTCTTGACTGACCGACTATATTTAAGATAAAGGGGAAATTATGCATACTTTGAACCTTTTCCCCCCCTGCTTAGCTCTTTAAACTGAGCCCAGTGTTGCCTTAAGACAACATATAATATATGCTGTGATTACAAAGTGCTGAGTGCCTCCTGCAGGCCTGGGCTAAGAAACAATAGACTGTGTCGCTTGAAGACCACATAACTGTTGCCAAACTGGTCTTCCTGCCCGTTAGATGTCTCTTCTGATTAAAAACTGCTGACAGATGAACTGTTGGCTGTTGTTCCAGTGGTGATCTATGACTCCAGCTTCATAAAGCTGCACTTAAAAGGCAATTTGATCACTGCTAAGATCTCCTCTATACTTATAAAGCTACTCACTTTAGGGTGGCCAAGATTTCATTATTGGACCCGGGCTCTTGTAACCCGAATTGGTTGCAAGGAAATCCGAGGATGGTGAAGCCCAGATGCCTCAGTTCATCATGTAGTGCATTCAGTTCTGAGTGGGATAAGAAGAGAGTACCAAAAGACCATTGGGTATTTGTCAGTACACTGAAGTAAGCATTAGGCTGGATGGACTCATTCATTTCCACACAAATATTTTACTATCAATGTTGTCTTTGAGTTTGCTTGCTTTTGGCCGTAATTGTGTTGACGTAATATATACTTTGTTCATGTGGAAATTATGTACAAATTTTAATTCAATGTATTTTCCTATGTGACAGTAACATTACATTACAATAAGACACCAGCAAGGGTTAAACTCAAGCTCAAATACTTCTACTAACATTTGTACCAGCTCAAATATTGACACGCATACAGTGTCAGTGTCCTTGGACGAGCTTTACATGTTTTTAAAGTGTTTTTTTTTCCTGCCGCTTACCCACATACTGGAAGGTAAGTCCTCAGAAGCTGGCCACGTTCACGATGAGGACGTACTTCCCAGCATACTGACGCAAAGGAACGTAACTCCCATTCATAGTTTTCGCTCCATAATCAAATATGGAGCCGTCCACGTCCTGGTTACATAACTGTAAAATAGATAAATGAATTAATGAATGAATTAAAGAAATGTAATATTTATTCTGTACACATTGAAGATATTTAAAGGCCCCATATCACAGAAATTAAAATCCTTTAATTCCTTTTTGGAGATTTTGATGAAGTATGTAAACACAAAATCACACAGTCCATATGTGAAAACCAAGCTGTTATGAAGTCATTGTTTTTGTGATGTCACAAAAACCATCACATTTGCATAAACCAGCCTATTCAGCCTCCAGCGGTTTGGCTCTGCCTGTTCCCGCTGAAGTTATAGGGAGTCTTTCAGCCCAGACTGTTTTGTGAATGAGGCACAATACAGAGCAGCCAATCAAAATGGAGATCATTTGCATAAAACAGTCTAGATGGATGAAGAGAAGTTCATAAATGGTCATGTAAAAATGAGTGGATTGCTTTTGGTGCACAAACCCAAACAAACATTATAAGTAGACCCCAAATGCAATACAGATGTTGGTTATGGGCCCTTTAGAGGCAGGTTAGATGGGGAAATACTGCGTTTTCCTTCGGTACCATGATGTATTTCTGAGTAAAACACTGTATCAGGGAGGGTCTCTGAGCTGGCTGAGTGTTTTCACTCAATCACAGGTTGGGAGGGGGAAGTGAAACATGGTATTATTAGTTAATATTATTACATTTTGATGGAAGGATATGAAAAAAAACAAGAATTCTGTCTTTTGAATCTGATCTCATGAATCATGTCCAGTCAATCATGACCAGGAACGTAGGTTACATTACAATTTCGGGTTGACTTTAAAGGTGCATTATAAAGGTACTTTTTAAAACAAAGTGGAAACACAGACACCGGATGTGCTATAAAGACAAATAAAGGACGATATGTGAGCACAGGAACCGGTGGTGAAGTATAATTGCTATTATGACATTCTTTGGTCAGCCATATCCCAGTTGTATCCCATACTAGTTGATGTAAACCATATTCAAAAATCAGTGGTACAGTGCAGTATTGTTATATACACATCTTATATACATATATTTAACAGTATATCAGTATAAACTGAGTGTTATATTTGCATTTCGAACCTTGAGTTCACCAGTCAAGAACATGACCTACATCCAAAATAAATGCAAAGTCAGTATTCAAACATTGCATCGAGCTAAACTTCAGTCAATATTTTCCATCTGAGTTGAGCAATGTCTGGTACACCTCAGTCTGCCACAGTGCCAAAATATCTCATCAAAGTAGAATAAATAAGCAAATCCATAAATACTGGTAAACTGGTGCAAATGTACACAGCAAAGTACCTACAGTACTTCACAAAAGTCAGAGACCACCCTCCATTTATTTAATTCCCAGTCAAAACAACCATTCAGTACAAGTTATTCATTTTCCAGGAAATATTTCCAAAGAAATAATCCATTTGCATAAGGAAGAGGAAGTCAAAGGACAATGCGTGAAAAAGAAAGTGATGAAAATGATGAAAAGATGCAGAGAAAATGGGGCTCCCAACAACCACCTGGAAGACCTGGTAGACCAACAGAAGATAAACAGCACTTTTCAGATCTGAAAACATCCACAGGTGTTTCTGTCCATCCTTCCACTGTGAGAAGACGACTCAGCGCTGTGGGTCTGAAAGGATGTGTAGCTGTCAAGAAGAACCTCACTGAGAAAAGGAGACGGACACATCAAACAAAGAAGCTGAACAATGGACTGACCACCCCAGAGTCCAGACCTCAACACCACTGAATGGGTTTGACATATTGTACGTTACACTCTTAAAAACATCTTAAAGGCAATGGTTCTATATAGAACCATGAACACTCAAAGAGCCATTTGCATGATCAAATGATTCTTTGCATGGTGAATTGAAGGAGAATGTGTTGTATCTGGTTCTAGATAGGACCTTTTTTGAAAAGGTGTCTATACAGCACCAAAAAGGCTTCTTCTATTGTCACAAGCTTGCCATCATAAACAATAGCAGAACCCTTTTTGGTGCTACAGAGAACCACTTTCTATATGAACCATATGCAACTCATTGTCCATCAGTCTGAAGAACCATTTTACCATGTAAACAACCATTTACATGTTGTTAAGAGAGTACTATAGTTAATGAGGAGCCTCCTTTCTTAGAAAACACATTAAATATGAATATTCTGGCATTGTTTAAGCATAAAAATACTCATGGACGTGTCTAAAATGGTTTTACAGACGACACAGGTGTCTTAAAGTGACCAAAACCTCAGAGCCAACGAAGCTGAAGACGTTATTTAGCATTTACTGCTGAACGACGTTGCTTCACAGGTTAACAACCTGCTGCGAACCAGCCGCTTCTGAAGGCTTCAAGCGGACACGGGAACGTCGGGGCAGTAAGAGTTACTGAAAATGTAAGACATTAAATGCGCAGCTGGTCTTCAGTCTCAAAGAAAATCAGCCAACAGTGACTTTCTTTCCTCAGGAAAGCAGTTAATCTGCCTCCTGTGGTGTAAAAGCTAACACGACGCCGCGTCTTCGTTTTCTTTTACACCGTTGCCTTGGCAACGAGCCCCGGCTGCTTGTTCTCATAGAAACGAAGAACATAAATGTAAACAATCACTAAATAAACGAATCTGCAAACACTGTGATACAAGAACATGAATATCTAACAACAAATGCAAATACTAAAATATATCATCTCTAAAATCCATCATATCCGGCGACAAATACGATTAAAGGAAAAAAAAAAACGTATTATATTCAGCAGTGTGAACTACTTTATGCAGGCTAACGTGCAGTTAGCTGGATGTTCATGTGAAAAAAGCTATTTAAGCTGGTGTAGCTGTTAATAGTATGTTGGTTGTTGTGGTGTAGGTGTTACCTGTGTGTTGGTCGTTGTAGTGTAGGTGTTAGCTGTGTGTTGGTTGTTGTGGTGTAGGTGTTAGCTGTGTGTTGGTTGTTGTGGTGTTAGCTATGTGTTGGTTATTGTGGTGTAGTTGTTAGCTGTAAGTTGGCTGTTGTGGTGTAGGTATTAGCTGTGTGTTGGTTGTTGTGGTGTAGGTGTTAGCTGTGTGTTGGTTATTGTGGTGTAGTTGTTAGCTGTAAGTTGGTTGTTGTAGTGTAGGTGTTAGCTGTTTGTTGGTTGTTGTGGTGTAGGTGTTACCTGTGTGTTGGTTGTCATAGTGTAGGTATTAGCTGTGTGTTGGTTGTTGTGGTGTAGCTGTTACCTGTATGTTGGTCGTTGTGGTGTAGGTATTAGCTGTGTGTTGGTTGTTGTGGTGTAGGTGTTAGCTGTGTTTTGTTCGTTGTGGTGTAGCTGTTACCTGTGTGTTGGTCGTTGTAGGGTAGGTGTTACCTGTGTGTTGGTTGTTGTGGTGTAGGTGTTAGCTGTAAGTTGGTTGTTGTGGTGTAGGTGTTACCTGTGTGTTGGTCGTTGTAGTGTAGGTGTTACCTGTGTGTTGGTCGTTGTAGGGTAGGTGTTAGCTGTGTGTTGGTTGTTGTGGTGTAGCTGTGTCCTGTGTGTTGGTTGTTGTGGTGTAGGTGTTACCTGTGTGTTGGTTGTTGTGGTGTAGGTGTTAGCTGTGTGTTGGTTGTCATAGTGTAAGTATTAGCTGTGTGTTGGTTGTTGTGGTGTAGGTCTTACCTGTGTGTTGGTTATTGTGGTGTTACCTGTATGTTGGTCATTGTGGTGTAAGTGTTACCTGTGTGTTGATTGTTAGGTGTTATCTGTGTATTGTTGGTGGCTGTGTAGGTGTTGGCTGTGTGTTGGTTATTGTGGTGTAGGTGTTAGCTGTGTGTTGGTTGTTGTGGTGTAGGTGTTACCTGTGTGTTGGTTGTTGTGGTGTAGGTGTTAGCTGTAAGTTGGTTGTTGTGGTGTTACCTGTGTGTTGGTTGTTGTGGTATAGGTGTTAGCTGTAAGTTGGTTGTTGTGGTGTTACCTGTGTGTTGGTTGTTGTGGTGTAGGTGTTACCTGTGTGTTGGTTGTTGTGGTGTAGGTGTTACCTGTGTGTTGGTTGTTGTAGTGTAGGTGTTACCTGTGTGTTGATTTTTGTGGTGTAGGTGTTACCTGTGTGTTGGTTGTTGTGGTGTAGGTGTTACCTGTGTGTTGGTTGTTGTAGTGTAGGTGTTACCGTGTTGATGTTATGGTGTTACCTGTGTGTTGGTGTGTAGGTGTTACCTGTGTGTTGGTTGTTGTAGTGTAGGTGTTACCTGTGTGTTGGTTGTTGTGGTGTAGGTGTTACCTGTGTGTTGGTTGTTGTAGTGTAGGTGTTACCTGTGTGTTGGTTGTTGTGGTGTAGGTGTTACCTGTGTGTTGGTCGTTGTGGTGCAGGTCTGCAGTGAGGGCAGCAGCAGGAGCAGCAGAGGAAGCCAGGGCTTTCTGCAGGACTCCATCAGGAGGAGCTCCTCTCTCTGTCCTCGTCTCTTTCTCTTCTTTCTCGTTTCTCTTTCCTCTTCTTTCTCACCCTCACACGCACACTCCCTCACTCACTCTCTCTCCCTCTCTCTGTCTCGTCCTCGTCTCTGCCTCTGAAAAACTGTGACGCACACTCCTCTGACCAATGCGATCACTCTACTCAGAGAGAGAGAGTGAGAGAGAGAGAGAGAGAGAGAGAGAGTGGGTGAGAGAGACAGAGAGAGAGCCACAAACCACTGACGACACCCACATTTTTATTTTTAATTTCTTTTCTTTGTAAACAGGTAGAAAAATAACACAATCTACTCTTTTAGGCCCACACAGGTCATACAGGTTCATCTTCTGACCACAGCTGGAGAATTTAAACACTGGTGCACTGATGAAGAACTGCAGAACTGAAGGGGAACTCTCTCCTCCCATTTTTCCTCTATTTATTTCTCTTTTCTCCACTCTTTTCTCCCTCTGTCTCTCTCTCACCGAGTATATGTTTACTCAAAGAAGAAGTCACTGTGTAGATCACAAAACAAGTCAGATTCCTTCTATGTGTGTGTGTGTGTGTGTGTGTGTGTGTGTGTGTGTGTGTGTGTGTATGTGTGTGTGTGCGAGAGAGAAAGTGAACATTAATTAAATCCTACTCTGTAAGCAGCACTAATAAAATGCTTAAAAGGTTTTTGTTGCCATAGGGAAAAACCACTTAGCTGAGTTAAGTGCTGCTTATTCTTCTCCTGTCTGTCACCAGCAGGATGTGTCTGCCTTCCCCTCACATGAATCAGTCCACTAATGGGCCATAAGTCAACGCGAGTCAAACATAGCCATCATAATTACATGTTAAAAATACTTCAGATTACACACCCTATCTGTCGATTAGTACTGTCAACAATACTCTGATAAACAGAGTTAAAGGGCCCATATTCAACATTTTCTCGTTTTTTGACCATTTGTACAGTTTTAGTACAAAAAATAGATATATATTTTTTTTTACAGTCTTTTTGTTACTGTGCCTTTAAGATGTTTGAAAACATCAGATGGACTTAACTTCATGTGAACTTCATTTTTGCTAGTTAGTGACGATATATGAATGAGCTCTGTTCTGATTGGCTGTTTGATGGACTGACTCGGTCCTCTTTGCAATGTGAGCTGGCTAGACTGCTACACTCTTAAAAAAGATGTTCCTTCAAGGGTTCTTTAGTAAAGAAAATGGTTCTGAACACTCAAAGAACCCTTTGCATGATTAAATGGGTGAAAAAATGGTGATTTGCATGGTGAAATCATTCTTCAGATTGATTGTGCTGTTTATGGTTGTACATAGAGCCTTTCTATGTAGCACCAAAAAGGGGTTTTCAACTGTTACAATGTCAAGCTTGACCCAATAGCAGAACCATTTTCAAAAAGGTTCTATATAAAACAATATACAACACATTCTACATCGATCTGAAGAACCATTTCACCATGCAAAGACCCATTTAATAAAAAAGGTTCTTTGAGTGTTTGTGGTTCTATATAGATATACCTTTTTCTTTCCTGAAGAACCATCAAAGAACCATCTTTTTAAGTGTGTATTGGCTGAGTAGGCTGATGTATGTAAAATAGATGGTTTTCATCACAAACTCTCCAAAAACTGTAAGGTAGATTCAGTTTTCCGTGATACAGGCCCTTTAAACGTTTTGTTGAAAGCTTCAGGAAACTGTAATTGAGTGACTAACAGCCAGAGGAAACTGGCCATTAGAGTGGACAAAAACAAACCGCAAAACATTGTTATTTATTTATTTATTTATTTTTAAGATGGTCTTTATCAGTTGCATAAGATGTTTTCTGTAGTTTTAAAGTTGGTTGGAGCTGAACTTGCCAGGAACATAGATGGGCTGACAGTTGGTGACCACTGACCAACACCCTTCCTTTTCTGTGAACTGACAGTGACATGAATGCTTTTTTTTTGGTTGGCAGGCAGTAGGGGGCAGTATTGAGCCACTGATAAATGGAGAACAGTAGAATGGCTGTGTCACTTTTGTGTGAGTGTGTAGTGTCTCTTTTGGTGAACTATCTCAAGCTTCAGTTGGAGTACTGACTAGCTGCAGTACAAATTATGACATGACATTAGTTATGACACGTTCGTCCCCTTCATTCTGGAGAGCTTACAGTGTCAGTAAGCTGATTTCTACAATGAGACAAGCTAGAAATATGCTAGATATGACACAAGTGGATGATTCAAGACACACAACCACTACTCAGCTTTATAACTGACCCAGGGAGGGTATTTCTCATTTGGATAACTCAAAAAGCAAAAAGTCCAGCCTGTTGGTCAGCCTTGACAGTCTAGCTTTATGAAATACCCTCAGATCACTTACCTCAGTTCCCTAAATAGCAGTACATGTGATGACGATATGAAGCAGACCCCTAGTCCCCTTCATGACCTAATCAGGTCATTCACTTTTGTTCCCTAGATTGAGGCGTGGATTACTGACTGGGCCGGGGGGATGCCCAGGAGCTGCTGACTGCCAGGGGGGCTCAGACCACAAGGCCCGAGGGGGCTCAAATAGATAGGACAATCCACTGCGCATCCACTGCCAGCATTAGATCAATGAATAGCCTTTGAATTAAACAGTGTACAAATAGACTAGTTAACTGAAATGAATGATGAAGTGTTCTGTCTGTTCTCAGGCCTCTCCAGTTCTATATTATTATAGACTCATGAGATGCTGTAGTTGCCATTCAAACTGGGTGTTTTACGCATATGTGGTGTTCCTGCAAACAACTGGCTTAAAGGAAAAAGAGAAGATGCGTAAAAGAGACACAAATCATGAGTTTGTCTTTTAGAGCACAAACTGTTACTATGTAGACACAAAAGAATATAAATTAATATCAATGAACTAATTATGTGTTATTGTTAGACTGGCAACTACAACCTCTCATGAGTCTATAATAATACACACCGATCAGGCATAACATTATGACCACCTCCTTGTTTCTACGCTCATTGTCCATTTTATCAGCTCCACTTACTATATAGGTGCACTTTGTAGTTCTACAGTTACAGACTGTAGTCCATCTGTTTCTCTGCATACTTTGTTAGCCCCCTTTTACCCTGTTCTTCAGTGGTCAGGACCCCCACGGACCCTCACAGAGCAGGTACTATTTGGGTGGTGGGATCATTCTCAGCACTGCAGTAACACTGATGTGGTGGTGGTGTGTTAGTGTGTGTTGTGCTGGTATGAGTGGATCAGACACCGCAGTGCTGCTGGACTCTTTAATTACGCAAAGGGTTCTTTGAGTGTTCATGGTGCTGTATAGAACCATTTCCTTTTCTAAGGAACCCTTGAAGAACCATGGGCGGTTGGCAGAGCAGTGAGTGACACCACTGTACTTTAAAAATAAGTACTTAAATAAAAGTGCTTAAAGGTACTTTAAAAGTGTTTTGAATGCCCTTTCTGGTTGTGTGAGGGCTCCAAAGACACTGACTTCTTTTAAAATCAGATTAAAGACATTTTTATGTAGTTTCTGATTATTAGGACTCTTTATACACACACACACACACACACACACACACGTAACTGAACTACAATTCACTCTACATACGCAATGCACATAATTTATGAGTATTTATGATATTTATTAACCCTTTTTTATTCAACAACCTGATCATTTGCACGTAGGCACACATCTGCACTCTACCTTACACATATTCTTGTATATTTTATTTTTCTTGTATATTACATTTTTCTTTGCTGGTTTAAATTCTATTTTATGTTGTGTTTTCTGTCTTTTCCTGGCAACAGACAGTCGTATAAGCATTTCACTGCACGTTATACTTTGTATGGCTGCATCTGTGACCAGTGAAGCTCGATTTGATTTTGACAGTTGTCCTGGTCAGGTCCTCACTTCTATACTATTTCACTACATAGGGCACAACGGGTAGATTTGAGATGTAATCAGAATGATGTGATCGTAAGAGTATTTTACTACATAGGGCACAATGGTCGATTTGAGAAACGCCCCTAGTCCCCTTCATGGCCTAAAAACCTTCCTTCCCTAGAGCGTAGTCCACTAAGAAGGGAGCGAGGGTTTTTTTTGGGGACACACCCAACATAACGTAATCTGTGCGTGGCGAGAGGGGCGTGGCTTCAGAGATGGCGTCCCTCCTGCAGCCCGACAGAGTGCTGTATCTCGTCCGCGGAGAGAAAAAGATCCGCGCTCCACTTTCTCAGCTCTATTTCTGCCGGTATTGCAGCGAATTGCGCTCTCTGGAATGTGTGTCACACGAAGTAAGTGAATTTTTGTCGTAGTTTGTTTGTTTTTGGCCGATTTCCTGCTGATTGTCGTGAGCTGGGCCGGTCAGCCGCTAAAGCCAGATGTGCCCGCCCATAATCGGACTGTCCTGTCATTCGATTGGCTGTTCTACCTGTCAATCATGCAGTGTGTGCGGAATACGCGATCTGATTGGCCAGTCTCGCTTGTCATCTTCGAGCCGTTGTGTGTTCGTTCGGGCTGCTAGGTTAGCTACCAGTCCAGCCTGCTAATTTAGTCGTTATAATCGTGTTGTTCGAGCACTGAGTTGAGAAATGCGGCTTTTTCGTGTCGTTGGACTATGAGGGGGTCGGATTACTGACCCTAAAACAAGCATATACGTCTGTTTCTTACGTTTTAAGGGGAAATTTGCTCCTTGGCTAGCAGCTTAGCTAGTGATGTGGACCAGCATCACCGCACCCAGTTAGCCCAGATCTGTCTGTCTGCTGGTTTACACAGTTAGATGTCAACAAAGGGTTGAAATGTGTTTTTTATAGCTTTATTGTCACTTTAATGTCATGAATTGCAATTAACCACTGTTGGCAAAGCGATGAAAGAAGTGCTTGATATTAAAAGTGGTCATAATCAGAATAAAAACAATAAATACACGCATAGACCCACACATACATTAGACACAGACAGGTCATGTCGCGATATAAGCACTGTATACACTATGTAAGTAGATTATCTGGAGTAATACCCGTGTATATATGTGTGTGTGTGTATATTTACACACTCACACGTACATACACCGATAACATTATGACCACCTCATTGTCCATTTTATCAGCTCCACTTACTATATAGGTGCACTTTGTAGTTCTACAGTTACAGACTGTAGTCCATCTGTTTCTCTGCATACTTTGTTAGCCCCCTTTTACCCTGTTCTTCAGTGGTCAGGACCCCCACGGACCCTCACAGAGCAGGTACTATTTGGGTGGTGGGTCATTCTCAGCACTGCAGTAACACTGATGTGGTGGTGGTGTGTTAGTGTGTGTTGTGCTGGTATGAGTGGATCAGACACAGTAGTGCTGCTGGAGTTTTTAAACACTGTGTCCACTCACTGTCCACTCCTACCTTGTCGGTCCACCTTGTAGATGTAAAGTCAGAGACGATAGCTCATCTGCTGCTGCACAGTTTGTGTCTGTCATCCTCTAGTCCTTCATCAGTGGTCACAGGACGCTGCCCACAGGACGCTGTTGGCTGGATATTTTTGGTTGGTGGACTAATCTCAGTCCAGCAGTGACACTGAGGTGTTTAAAAACTGCAGCAGCACTACTGTGTCTGATCCACTCAGACCAGCACAACACACACTAACACACCACCATCACCACATCAGTGTTACTGCAGTGCTGAGAATGAGCTGAGGGGGCTAAAAAAAGTATACAGTGAAACAGATGGACTACAGTCTGTAACTGTAGAACTACAAAGTGCACCTATATAGTAAGTGGAGCTGAGAAAATGGACAATGAGCGTAGAAACAAGGAGGTGGTCATAATGTTATGCCTGATCGGTGTGTATGTGTGTATATATATTTAATAAAGACAGTGGTTCTATATAACCATGAACACTGAAAGAACCCTTTGCATGTGTAAATGGTGTTTTGCATGGTTTTTCTTCAGATTGATAGGGAATGTGCTGTATATGGTTCTGTTCTGTATAGCACCAAAAAGGCTTCTGCTGCTGTGACAATGTCAAGCTTGTAACAGTAGCAGAACCCTTTTTGGTGCTGTATAGAACCATAAACAACACATGCTCCATCAGTCTGAAGAACCATTTTACCATGAAGAGAATCATTTAACCATGCAGATGGTTCTTTGAGTGTTGAAGGTTCTATATAGGACCATAGTCTTTACTAAAGAACCCTTGAAGAACCGTTTTTAAGAGTGTAGAGTTCAGTAAAGAGGTTCCTAAAGATCATTCCTGAAATGATGCAGAGCTGAAACGTGTTTGGCTGCTGGTGTCGCTGTCTCAGCTTCGTCTCCGAGCACAGCCCAGAGTTTGTGAGAGTGACAGTGAAGGGAGCTCATTGTTTATTTTTGCAGACTGTTCAAAGAATGTTTCTCTTATTGATCAGCCATTTAGGCAACAGAGGAGACAGTGTGTTTCATCCTCTGTCTGTATTAGACTGCAGTGTGTGCAGGATCTCTCCTCTCTGGGCTGCCAGGTTCATGTCTTCCTCTATCCGCCTCCAGCCTGTGCTCAGTTGCCCTATATTTTGTTAATGGTTTTTTTTCCTGCACTTGTTTGATGTTTAAATAATGCACCAGTTTGGTCTCCTGATTTAGGGACTGGAGACATTTTAATTTTTTTTGCTGATTCCATTCATTTATCCAAATCTCATTGTGCTTCAGAGTTAGGCCCAATCCCATGTCTTATTTTTCCCCCGACCCCTTGTTTTCCAGTGTTTCTATGCCCCTTTGAACTGAGGGGTAGTGGTTGAAATTTTCCTCTATGAAATGGGACCCTCAAATTAAAAGAACGTTACTTCATTAACTACTAGCGCTGCTCTGTAGGCGACCCTGCCAGTCTGCAGTGACAGCAGAGGAGGGTAAAAATCAGCTCCTCACTGCTGGGCTTTAGTTACATCTAGGGCATCATACGCCTTCAAAGGGGGACATTTATTTATTATCACCCACCCATAATTCTCCAGTGATATGGAGCTGAAGTCGACTATTCGCCAACTTCATTCGAATTTTCCCGTTCCACCTTAAATGGAGCAGCAGTTGCATTGTGGCACCTCAGGAGTCAGAACTGCTGGACTATTTAAGGTGGAACGGGAAATTTAGCTAGCTAGCTACAGAGACATCAGCATACTGCTAGCGAATTTTTATGCTTGTTGTGAAGAAAAGGGTCCTAATACATTGAAACTGTATTAAACTAAGATAATATAATGGTTATTGTCATTTTTTCAAAACAGAAAATTCTCATATTTGTGGGTTTCTTTGGTCGCTCGTACAGCCATCTTGCTGTTTTTTTCCTCATAACACTCTGTTTGGAGTCTCTGAAAGATCTGTTTGGAGGGCCGTGTAGCCCTAACACCTTGCCCTATCCCTCTATCTCAACAAGAATCGGGACACCCTACCCCCTAGGCATGAACACACAAAACAGAGGGCTAAGGGCTAAGTGGCAGGGGCGAGGGGTGAAATGGGATTGGGGAGTTTTGCCTGTTTGTTGAGGAGGAGGAGGAGGAGGAGGAGGAGAAGTTTAGATGCTGAAGCTCAGTGAGCTGTTCAGCAGGCAGTATGAATGAGGTTCTGAGGCGATTGACCAGAAGAGCTTCATGCTTTATTGAATTTGGATCCACCTGGTTGAGCGATCCAGTATTTTGCTGATCTTTGTTGAATATCGATGTTTCGAGGGTGAAGGCCCAGCTGTGCTCTAATTGTTATCGTGTTATTGTGTTCGTTCAGGTCGATTCCCACTACTGTCCCAGCTGTCTGGAGAACATGCCATCAGCTGAGGCAAAGCTCAAAAAGAACAGGTAAAGCTGCATGTTTGATCTGCCTCAGACTGAATTTGGAGCGTAAGAACTTCTTTCCTCTTAAAGATCGTGAGATGAGAATAGATCAGGACTGTGTTGCACCAGGTTGTAAGTTTATGGTTAAGTTTGAGCGTAAAGTCTTTACTGAGTCCTTAGTTACACTAGTTAGTGTCAAACTATCCTTTTACTGAATTTGGTTGAACCACAAATCCGTAAGTCGTGTCTTAACTAACTAATGCATACATCGCTGTAACAGGACGAAACACGTTCAGTAAACCTGCTGCCATTGAAACACAGCAGCAGTTGGCTCTGACCTTTCTGTGGAAAAAACATCCAGCACAGAAGAGAACAGTGTGTACAGGTTAAACTGAATAAAACTACTTATCTACAGCCGCTGTCTGTTTATTCTTTAAAATTTTCCTTAAATAACTAAATATGCAGGTCATAAACGACAGTTTCTGGCTGACTGACACAACAGCAGCCTCAGTTTAGCCCTTTGTGCAGCTGCTGAGTCTCACTGAGCTGGAGCTGTGAGTGTGTAGCTTCATGTTCAGAGTTTAAACCAGGCCGATGATTAGAGCTGTGAGTGAAATCACAGTGTGTAGCGTTTAGAGTTTTAGCTTAGTTAACCAAATAAGGTCTTTCAGTGATTTCTCTGTGGTTTCTGATGGTTTCCTCAAAATGCACACCTGGTCAGGGGGGATGTAAATATTTAGTAACTACAAAGCTCAACTTATTTCGTTTTTTTCCCAACTGAATTTACATGCTCAAATCGTAAGGCAAATTATTCAGTAACTACATGAAATAAATGTAAAATTTTTTTGTTTTTTGTTTTTTTTTGTGTAAAAGCTCCCCTCAGATTAACAGAACATGTGTTTTATGATCACACATATCGCTATATGCTTACAATTTACTGCTGAAAGCGAAAAATCTCAGACGCGCTTTGTATTATTTTATAAAATAATTTCTACAGAGCAGATCACTGAAGAGACGCCATCTGTTTATAGTTTATAGCCGAGATTTGTGGAAAAATGTGTCGACTTTCAGTAGACAAAAAAAATTGAGTTCAGCTTCTTTTATTATAAGGGTTTAAAATTACATCACCCATCTATTTGACTGGAAAGAAGACAGTTACAGCTCTCATATGACCCCCACCTTTTGAATGTAGCTTATGAAATATGAAAGTTATGAAGAAAAGAATATGACGAAGTGCGTTCTGGAACCACCGGTGGTTCCACAGAGTTAAAACAGTTAAAATTAGTTTGTGGTGCAGCTCAGTAACGCATAAACCTGAACTTAGTAAACACTTGCATTACAACTAGTCTACAGTTGAACTTGCGCACAGCTGGTGCAACCAGCCAATGACCACTGCTCACGAGCTTTGTTGTGCTCATGTTCGTAGGTGTGCTAACTGCTTTGACTGCCCTTGCTGCATGCACACCCTGTCCACACGCGCCACCAACATCCCTGCCCCGCTGCCAGATGACCCCACCAAGACTGCCATGAAGAAGGCCTACTACCTGGCCTGTGGGTTCTGCCGCTGGACTTCGCGGGATGTAGGCATGGCCGACAAGTCTGTCGGTAAGTCAGCGCTCTTCTTTAGGAGAACAGAGTGAGGTATTCTAAGGCAACGTTCACATTACCAGGCTGAAGTGGCACAAATCTGATTTTTTGCCCTAATGTGACTCAGATCTGATGTTTTCAGAGCTGTGTGGACACACAAATCTGATCCTTTTCAAATCCGACCTGAGCCACTTTCATATGTGGTCCTAGATCGGATACGTATCCGATTCGTGGCCATGTGACCTTAATGTGACGCTCAGATCAGAATTCATGTGCCTTATTTCCACTGTGCGTGCGCCATCATTCAGCGTTACCATGGCAGCAGCGCCGAACAGAAGTTAAAGCCTTTAAACGGTGGAAAAGAAACACATTTCACCTTTTTCTCCTTCGTCTCGCTCTAATAATGAAGCTGAGAGCTGATCAGAGTTAATGATCTTCTCAGCGAAGCTCGTTCTGCTCGTTAGTCTGTTTGATGATGATGAACGTGATTCATTCACGTGACGTTACTGAGTAGGATGTGATCATGAGGGTCATTTCAGGACGCCGGTTTGTTCACATTAATGACAGATTTGAATCACTTACCTAAACGAGTGTGAACCATCGAGTCAGAGAGATCGGATTTGAGCAAAAAATCAGATTTGAGCAATGAGGTTTGTAGTGTGAACAGAGCTTAAGATATTTTCATGGTTAGTTAATTTTAATGCAGTGTGCTTCCCGGTCCTGGTCCTGGAGGACTTCCTATAGTTGCTTTTTTTTTTCCTGATAATTAAACTAATCAGCTTGTTAACAAGCCCATCCTGAGTTGAAGTGGGTGTATTGGGGCAAAGTAAGCACTGCACTGTGAAGAACAGGGGTCCTCCAGGACCACCATTGGGAGAAATTGTTTTAATGCAAAGTAATGTGATCTTGTATTGTGCAGTTAGTGTATGCAGATATGTTCATGTATCAATTCGTTCAGAGCTCTTGCTCCTCAGATGTTAGAGCTTTTTTCACACGTGCGTTTAAAATTGGCAGAAATAACATGTTTTTGTGTTCTCTATCATAGCCAGTGGAGGGTGGCAGGAGCCGGAGAACCCCCACGCTCAGAGGGTGAGTACAACCGTACAGCAGAGGTGAAACCATAGGAGTACGTTCTGCGCATGTGCGTCGCGACACAGTGAAAGTTTATAATGTTCAGCATAGCGGGAGCAGAAACAGAAATTTATTTATGTTTTATGATCATACACATATTGCTATATGCTTACAGTTTACTGCTGAAAGCCAAAAATCTTAGACGCGCTTTGTATTTTTACACAGCAGATCACTGAAGAGACACCATCTGTTTATAGTTCATAGCCCAGATTTGTGGAAAAATGGGTCGACTTTCAGTAGACAAAAACCATTGTGAGTTCAGCTTCTTTTATTATAAGGGTTTAAAATTACATCACCCATCTATTTGACTGGAAAGAAGACAGTTAAAGCTCTCATATGACCCCCACCTTTTGAATGTAGCTTATGAAATATGAAAGTTATGAAGAATATGACGAAATGTGTTCTGGAACCACCGCTGGTTCCAAGGAGGTTAAGAGGTTAAAAGACGGCAGTGGGACGGTCGTCCAGCCTATGTGTCTCAGAACACGACGTCTTCCTCTCGGCCTTCTTTAATAAGGACATGTGAAGGACGTTTTCCTGAGTCTGACATCATTTTAAAGTAAAACACAAACACTGCTCACTGCTGCTCATCTCACTCTGACTGGACGTGATGCTCGTTGTCATGGTAACGTCTACACTAAGTGGTACTTCACACATAAGTGTCATTTTGGATCTGATTACTTGTAGTGAGCATGTAAACGGATCAGATTGTTGAGTAGAGTGAGCAGATAAACACCTCAGTCTTCATCTATGATCAGAATGTATTTAATTAGATAGAAATCTTTGCATGTAAACACAGCCAGTGAACTGTTTTTCTGCTGCGGCTCATTTGAGAGTTGTGACTAGTTATGCATTTCTAAACTGACTTTCGCTGTGTTTGTTCGCTCCTCAGATCAATAAGCTGATTGAGTATTATCAGCAACTGGCTCAGAGAGAGAAGCTGGAGAGGGACAGGAAGAAACTGGCCCGAAGACGTCCTTTCATGCCTCAAGCCTTCTCGGTACACACACACACACACACACACACACACACACACACACACACACACACACATATAAAATAGTGTCTCTGACTGGGTTTGCAGCAACTTTACCGTCTGTTGCTTCTTTGTAATTGAACAGAAATCAAACCTCCATTTAACCCAAATATACAAACCTACTAAAGCTCCATTCACTCTTATGGAAAGTGCAGAATAAAAATCAGCTACTTGTGTCACCATTGCAAGCACTTTTTTGTGTGTTGTAAGGCTGTTAGAAGAACAGACAGCATTCCCTGAACAACCTGTCTGTATACAGTTATGTGCAAAAGTTTGGGCACCCTGGTCAGATGGCTTTTTTTGTTGATTTTCAAAGTGAGAATAAGTTAGCACATCCTCTACAGAGAACACACTCAAAAACGTAATTTTCTGTAAATTTCAGTGCACAATTTCTGTTTTATCTGCTGAGTTTAACATTTCGGAAAAAATTGAATGTGCCATAACTTTTGCACCGGCTACATTTTATGTGATTATTTTTTCCCCCAATATGTTAAATTCAGCAAATAAATAATAGTTGTGCATTAAAATGTACAGAAGTGTGCATTTAAATTTGAATACTCCAGAACGTCAACAGCAAAATATAGTCACTTGTAGTGAACCTTCAAATATTACATGTGAATACTTGATATCTTTAGGCTACATTGGATACAAATGACTGTTAGGTCTCTTTGAACGTCCCCTGGATGTAGGTCTGTTAAACCTACCTGTGTGCTTGATTTAGACACCTGACATCTTTTCTGCTTCTAGTTAATTCATTCTTGGGATCAGTTTCTGAGCTGCTGAGTGTTCATAGTGGTGTGTTTGGTGATACGATGTGTGGAATTGGGTAGAAAACTGCTGTCCCATAGAGTGTTGTTGAGGGAGGGGGGTGTCCGTGCAAATTACGTTGCAATGCATGCTGGGGATTGTAGTGCAGCTAATTGTTAAATGGGCTAATTTTAATAGAAAATTAAATTAATGTTTAGGGCTGGATAGGACTGCGCCACGGGCCTGATCTGGCCCGCTGGCCTTGTTTTTGACACATGGGCTGTAGAGGGCGTGTTAACTTCACCTAGAAAAGCAACACAACCTGTCATTTGCCCAAGGGTGCCCAAACTTTTACATATGACTGTAGGCTACAAAATGTAATGTTTCCAAATGCAGCGTTCCTGACATTATAACTGCATCTCTTTCAAGCACTGAGAGCAGGTGATGTGATTTAATTCATTCTCTTATCGCAGCTCTTACTGATATGCTCATTTTGTGATGGTAAAAAATATGAATAATCATACAGACCTTACACATACAGACATATACATAAACGCCCACAGCTTTACGTCTATGAGAGTTAGTTCAGCGTTGAGTTTAAACCTCTGAAAAGACTCAGCCTTGCTGTTCTAGTGTCATTGCTACCTTTTATTTTACAACTTTATAACTTTTTTACAATATTTTAGGAAAGACACTGATGTGCATGTTAAAACAGATGTTCCAGAACTCACACAGTTCACAAATTGTTGTTGATTGTTGCTGTTGTTGCTTTTATTATTATTATTATTATTATTATTATTACAGCAGGGTCTGAAATTAACAATGTAAACTAACATTTGTCTTCTAAGTATCTGTCTAAGTCTGTAATACGGCATGTATCGCCCTCTTCAGGTTAATTTCTAACCCTGTAATGAACGACGCGCTTATTTTTTACTGATCGCACTTGAGCCACAGCTTGTCTCAGTCACTGGAGCATCTCCTGTGTTGCTGTGTTTTTTAAACTGCCACTTGAATGTCTGCTTTGATGCTTAAGTTTCACCTGGTTCTTTCTCTTTCTCTCATTTTTCTTTGCTTGTGCACGCTGAAATTTTGGTTTGCACCTCTCCCCTTCCCCAGCAACACACTATTCACGTGGTGGTGAGTGGTACTTCTTCACAACAGCCGTATTGTCGACTGAGTGTCTTTTGGAGTTGGAAAAGTGATATTTCTGTCTTCCTGTCCTTCTCTCTCCAGTTCGTCATGCCTAATGTGCCGATCACGAGGCTCCACACTGCGAATATGAACTCGCTGCATACTTGCTTCCTTTGAGTTTAAGGGTTTTAGAGAGAGCTGTGAAAAGAACTCTTTGTATGACAAGACAGTAGAAGCTTAAAGGTTACCATTTGTTGTCCTTTTATGGCTTTGCAGCAAATGTAGATTTGCTGATTGTATCTGTTTAAAGGGATGGTTTGAACAAACATGCTAACAATGCTAAATATGAATACAACCAAGTAGTCAGAACTGCTGGTGTTGTTAACAATGAATGAAAGCAAATCACTGTTTTTCATTTTTGTTGTTTTTCAACAAGCAACATTAGCATGTTTGACTACAGTTTCCTTTAACCACACTGTTTTGATGCAAACTAAGACCAGGCCACTTTACCTAAGAACAATTAATTATAAATTTTTATTATTATTATTATTATTATTATTATTAAGAACAAATGGAAGCAAGTGACCACCGACAAACACTACATGGCTCCATTTTAATTTGTAAATGTTAGGCATTACGTGTTGTTAGCCTCTCTGTTTGTACTGGTCCTGTATTAACTCTGTTTTGTGAAGTGGAGGTGGAGCTTCGATTTATTAGTTTGGCCTGACATGACTTGTGTTTCTTTGTAAAAGGAGAAGTACGGCCTGGGTACCCGGCTGCAGAGGCAGAGATCTGGAGCCCCGATCAGCGCCCTCTATGGCCTCTCGTGAGTATTTAGAAACACTTCATTAAAAAACACTATGCATTACAAAATTCACAGCGAAGTGAAGTCCTCTGACCACAACACTGGTTTTCCCTTTCTGTGCTGTAAAATTGTATTTTTTGCACATCAGATTATTGAGTGCATGTAAATGCACTTATTGACCTAAATAAAAAAGGTTAAGACTGTGGAGTGGAATTCAGAAGTCTGATAGCGGAAGGGTAGGTACTGTTGATAAACCAATACAGCCATAACAATTTATGTAAAAATACCAGATGTTTAAAAATATCACAAGTGTCCAGCGTAGGGTTCTCCTTTAGCAGCTGTAGCCAGTAAGCAGCCTGTCCATGTTGTCCACCCTCACACACACACACACACACACACACACACACACACACAAATACATACATAGAGACACACACAGACACACACATGTACAAACACAGACACACGCAGACACACACACACACACACACACACACTAACAGGAGGCCATGTAGGAGGAGAACAGAGTAAAGGACACAGCACCTCCACACTTTTACTCCCCGCAGGTTCACCCAACACCACATGTGTGATATAAATGTGTGGGGGGTGAACAGAGTGAAGACACCGAAAATGGGTTATTTTATATGTTCTTCACAGAAAATGAACAAAGACCAAGAAATCTGAGAAATAATAATAAATCACATCATTTTTTTCTTTTGGTAAACACTGAAAATGGGTCCCACAGACCTGAACACCACACAAGGGTTAAAGTTATGAACCGCTGATAGGATTGGAAAACCTAGAAATTAGCCAGTAGAAACAGTTAGAAAATGACTGCATCAAAATACACTGTGCTGTAACCCAGTTTGCACCAGGTATTTAGTGTTCCTAATGGCTTTGTTCGGGTATCTGAAGCTGCACTAGAGCAAAAATATGGACTGCTTGGGGGTCCCTGAGGACTGGTTTGAGAACCACGGGTCTACATGCTAACGACTGGGCTGTGGTTCAGATTAGTGTTTTAAGCAGTAAAACAGTGGAAATGCATTTGTTCACGCAAAATTGAAAATTTCACTCCAGTCACCTCACCTCAAGTTGGCAACCCTGTTTAAGTTTTAAGTATTTTTTGACAAATTCACTAAAAACTGCAAAACAAAGTAAAGAATGTGTTACTTGTGTGTCTTACTAGTTTGAATGTCCTCCTGTATGTAGAACTGCTGTAAGTGGTATTAAGTCCAGTATGAAGTGAGTGTAAACCTCAGTTAGCTTGATGCTGTGATTGTAGAGTGATTCTTATAGAGACATTAGTGGAAACCTCTCAAAAATGCATCATGTTATGAACTGTCAGACGTTGTGCTTTGCAGAAATAATAATAAAAAAAAACACTAAGTAAAAAGAAAACCGTATTCTCTTGCATATCTTAAAGAAGAAGACAGGCAAAAATCATTGTAAGTCTATGGGTAACACTTACCTCTTGGTAGTATATGATATAGCTAGATGTATTTATGTGTATCTATGCTTTACACTGTTTTATTTACCATAAGGGGCCAGTAGGAGAATTTAAAATATCGATTATGATCATGCGAATTGCCAACCAGTCAATGCAGATCCATTGAAAAGATACATTTAATCTTTATATTTCTTTTTCTTCCCCAAAGCAAGTCAAGTTTAATCATGTGACTCCTCTAGTAACAATTTATTCTTGTAACAACGTCTTAGAACTCACTGTGTTTTTTATCATGGCATTAAGTGCCACAAGCTTCTGCTCTGTTGCTGCGACTTTAACAGGGTTGTTGTTTCGTAACCGTAGTTTAAAGTGTTGTGTGCTAACACCAGCTGTATATGTGTGTGTGTTGCAGTCTGAAGGAGGGAGAGGAGCAGAAGGAGGTCAGTATTGAACCTGCTCAGGCTCTGGACGAGGTGGAGCCTCTGCCTGAAGACTGCTATACAAGGCCCATTAACCTGCCTGAAGGTCAGTCTCATTCGCGTTCAGCCTGTTCTGGATAACTCTGTGGATTTAGCCTCTGTGTTCTTTTCCAGAGACAATTAAATATGTATTTTAATTCCTCTAAACTGCCTTATGGTGATGCATGTTTGTCGTGACAGCAGCTTTTACTGCTTCATACAATTTATCACATAGTCTGTGCACTTTACAGTTGGTGAATAAGTATTTAACATGGCAACAGTATTTTTTTATTAAACATTTCCATTGCAGCTATTCAGATGAAATTAAGACCAAACATTGATGTTAGCCCTCTACTGCAGGAGAGGATAAAAAAAAAAGTTTAATTCACTTTTCTTGTATAAAATCTGTTGTTCAATTGTGTTTATGCAGTGACGACTCTTCGCCAGAGGCTGCTTCAGCCAGATTTCCAGCCAGCGGGAGCCTCTCAGCTGCATCCCAAACACAAGCATCTGCTGATGAAGCGCTCTCTGCGCTGCAGGGTATGTACACATACTCATCTATGCAAGAGCAAACACAGCTACATTTGTACTTGAATAAATACATGCGAGCACCACAACACCCTTATCACCCATAAAACACCTGCACTTCCTTTTTGTCAGAAATGTGAGCACAATCTGAGCAAGCCAGAGTTCAACCCAACCTCAATCAAGTTCAAAATCCAGCTGGTGGCTGTGTGAGTATATCATCATCATCATCCTCCTTATATAGTGCTGCTTGTTTGTGTATGTAAATTTCTCATATAATGGTTGTGACGTTTGGTTTGCAGGAGCTACATCCCTGAAGTGAGAATCATGTCCATTCCAAACCTGCGTCACATGAAGGCAAGTGTGCGTCCTGCTCTTGACGTGAACAGTTCTGGCCTTGATTTCATGCTCAGAGCTCGAATAAAAAGCTTCCTTTTCGGCCTGTCGGTCACAATAGGTTCTTACTGTGCCATCCTCTTCAGAGTCTTTATTTTCAAAAATCAGTGTTTCTCCTGTCAGTAATTAAATCTACAGTCTGTCTGGAATGGATGAGGTACAGGATGTATTAATGGTTGAGGTACTAGATGTAGAGTTTGCTACCTAGCACTCGTTTTTTGAATAAATGTGGTGTGCACATATTATTTGGGGGAAAATAAAACTCAAGTTATTACCAAACAAATATGCACTAAATTCAGACCCCAAGTCCAATGCAGCTTCGATAATTGATGAAGCATTGTGTGGCAGAAGCGAGCTGGCTTCTGCCAGAGGATCAGTGTCTGCCTAGTTCTTGTCTTCTAGTATTTAATCAAAATAGGTTTACATTCAGTTGTTATAAAAGCAAACGTCCTATTCTGCAAACTGAAATATTTGTTTGAATTGGTTTTATCAAAATATGCTGTCGTGCCCCTAAATTGGGGGTAAGAAATAAGAGATTCAAATTCTAAGTTTTAAATCTTTCCTGTTTTATAGACGAAAAAAAAACAGGACAGAGCTCCCCTTCCTGCATGTTTTGGTGATCAACTTTCTTTAGCATCCCTTAAGCCTTAATAATCGCAGGCAGATCTGTTGGATTTCTCATACACATGCCACTCTAAACAGTATTTAATGTTGCTTTATAGAACGATTAGCACAGTGTGAATACTTATAAACTGACTGTATAATAGGCTGGTCACAATTATTACATAATCACCTAATTGCAGTTATTTTAAATGACTGCAGTTACTTGAGAGTATTGCAGTTATTCAAGCTGAGTGCGGTGTTTTCCAGTTGTTAGATTTCACAGTTGTTTTGTGCTGCAACAGTCAAAATGTGAGTTGGGTTTGTTGGGCTGAGGCAAATAAATGTAAATAAAGGAAAGTAGTAAATACTTTCATTGAGTTGCATCATGGGACTCATGAAAACACAAACATTCTAACTCTAAGGGCAGTTCTGAGTCATTTTTATGTCAACCGTATATCTGATTTTATTGTTTTTAGCAGATTGAGTGTCTATTTGCTTATATTTTCACTCTTGAGAAAAAATGGAACTTTGCTTAAATGTACATGATTCTGTGTAATTATAGACGACAATGTAGTGTATCATTTCAACAGTCCAAACAGTGTTGGCTCCTGCGTAAACATTGCTAATAAGCAAGATAGTTAATCACTTAATTTGACCACTTTAGGCTCATATTTTAATAGTTGCATATGATAAACAAGAGAAGACAAACTGTCAATCACAGTTATTTACATGACATAAGTCACCATCTCAAATGTAAGTACAGGCCTGCTATGTAAATTAATCAGTCATTCACAATTACACTTGCAATTCTCCGTTGCAAGTTGCAAGTCAGTAGCTTCAAAGTGCCTTCCATGTAGCCTGAAATTAATCTTGGGGGGTCACTGATGTTCATGAAGAGCTGTTAGAGCTTCCATACAGAATGTATGTAATGTTTGCATCCATAGGTTTTTTTTCTCTCTGAGAACCACTTTTTAGTGTCAAGTATGGTAACTGGTGCTATTTCACTGGTCATTGACTATCAGCTCTCTGGTCAGTTTATTTGTCAGATGTAGACAGAATGTAGACAAATGCATTGATGAAAAATGAAACTTTTCATCAGTATTAAATCATAATATCAGTTCTTTTTAGCGTATTGTGGTATTTATTAAAGTTTAAAACCTGTAGAATTTTTCTACTTTTATCACTGAGTTAAAACTGAATAGTAATATAACATACGTGGCAGGAGTCTCAAGTGCTGCTGACGCTTACCAACCCAGTGGAGAGCATCACCCACGTCGGCCTGTTCACCTGTGAGGAGGGGGATCCTGACGACATCAACAGCACGGCCAAGGTGCGCTCTCAGAAAACATGCTGTCTGGCCCGGCTGACATGTTATCCGTTTTTAAAACGCACTCTGTAACCTAAATTGTCATTACATCACTCTTGTTACCATGATTGCTGTGCAGTAGCTCATTAAAATAATTGCGTGTGTGTGCAGGTGATGGTGCCAGCGAAGGAGCTGGTTCTGGCAGGGAAGGACGCAGCAGCAGAATATGACGAGTTGGCTGAACCTCAGGACTTCCAGGATGACCCAGAGTAAGATACAGCACTCAGACTCTAATAGTAAATTATTGATTAGTTGACAGAGTGGATAGTTGTTAATCATAATAGAATGTCAACACATTGTTTTATTGTCAACATGTTGCCTTTTGAAAAAAGAAGCACTCTGTAGTGCTCTATAGTATGGAAGCATATCAGGATCAAAATAAAAAATGAAAATGTAATATGTAAAATGGCAATGCCATTTAGATGCTCTATAAATAGCTTTATTTAAAGTTAAATGGATTTCCGGAACTGCATATTCATGCCTTACGTGATTGTGCTACAGTGGTGTCAAAATGATGATTATGTCATACTATAGTGGTGTAACAGTGCATCGTGAGGCAGTGCAAAACTGTGACAGTGTGCACTGTGGAGAAGTGACACTTGTGCATCATGGAGCATCGACATATTAATTATGCCAAATGTGGTGTTTGAACACCTTTTTTTAATGATGAGCATCAATCAGTGACACACTCCAGCATTTCTGCTGCTTTAATGCTGTTAATTTCTACTACAACATGATTAGAATTGTTAATTTTCTTCTTTTAAATTTTATATCATCGAATCAAGTCGAATCATGGGCTGAGAATCATGGGATGGGAGTGTATTGTTACACCCCTAATGCTCTGTAGTATCCACAAAGCTGTTCCCACATATTTCAGTACACTACAGAAGTGTAGGGGCGATAGGAATGGGGGAGTTTTGGATCAAGGCGTAACAGATTTAATTGATTAATTGAATAGTTAAGAGATTGTTAGTTGCAGTAAATACCACCCTTAAGAAGATGTCTTCACTGACTTCAGCCACTAGGTGTCAGTCACGCTCCATTCACACAGCAGGTAAAAGTGGCCGAAATCTGATTTTCTCACCATATCTGATTTTCGGCTGTTCACATTATCTTTTAAATGTAACCTTTATGTGACATCAGTCTGAACAGATCAACGCAACAATGCTTCACGTGGCTCATCCAGAGGTAAACAGCCATGCCAGTCACTCCCTGAAGATTCACTTATATCTTCGCCAGCATCACAGGAGCCATCATGAAGCTCCATTGATTGACAGCTGGGCTCATCACTCTGAATGTGTTCCAGCTCGCCATAAAAAGGCACATTATTCGGCGACGGTCACGTCTTCAGTTTGCGTCCTTGGATTCTTTAAACTTTTGCCATTTCTTTTGAAATCTCTTAATTTTTTGGTACAGAAACATCAGCCTTATGAGTCTCAGCAGCGCGAAATTATGACAGATGTGGAGTTGGATTGACGTAAAAAAACGTTGCATGAATTCCGATCTGGCTGTTTAGACTGAGTCGCATTGCCGCAGATTGGATACAGATCAGATTTCATTACCACATTTGGAAGAGTCCCAAATCTGAATTGGAAATGTCAGATTCACTATGTTTTTTGCTGTTCGCACTGACAGACAGACACACATCTGTGTCACATATGAAGAAAAAGATCAGATTTGGGCCACTTTTACCTGCTGTGTGAACAAAGCCTCAGAGACTGATAGACATACTGGCCTGTGTGGTGGTGGATTTTGACTGTGCTCAGTGGTGGCCAGTGTGGAATGAGGGTAGGAAGTAAAGTGATTGAGAAATTATAGTATATTCACAGAGCACATGCCTACTTTGGTCTATGTGATCAAGTAAGCCTGTATCTGGCTACTCTGTACCCAATGGCTAATGTAATACCTGAATGTGTTAAAACTAACAACCTACAGAACGCATGTTTATTGACCTGTTTGAGCCAAAAAGGTTTGTTTTGGAATATTCTGTTGGTTTGCAGTGCTGCTCTCTTATTCCTGTTCACACTCTTTGTTGATAACAGTCTCTTATATTGTTGCATTTCACTGTTACTGTTCTTTCAAACGTCTCATCTGTGGTATAATTCACTCCCCCTGCAGTGTGGTGGCCTTCAGGAAGTCCAATAAGATCGGCTTCTTCATCAAAGTGATTCCACAGCAGGAGGAGGGTGATGTCACTGTGGCCTTTAAAATGCGTCACGATTTCCGCAACCTAGCCGCCCCCATCCGGCCCAGCGAGGACGGAGAAACACCCAGTGAGGTCATCTGGCTCACACACCATGTGGAGCTCAGCCTGGGGCCGCTGGTGGCCTGAATCCACACACAGAGCTTACCTTAGACTCGCGGAGCCGTGGTCTCGTAATGAGAATACACGTCTGGGGACAACATGCTAAACTCTCGCTGCTGGATTGCGGCGAAATCCGCTGCAAACAAGGATACACTCCTCTAAAATCCGCCTCCAGAATCCTCTAGTTTGTGCTCTTTTAATGTGCAGAGTGTAATCGATAACACAAAGCAAGCTAGCTAAGGAATCGCTGTCGTTAGCTAACAGAACTGTTTTTTCCTGGCGAGAGGTTACGTTTATTTTGTGAAGTGCTCTCTGCTTACATGATACACATCTGCATGCTCATTTGGAGTTTTATGGGACAGCCATGCTAACTTACATTACATTAATAGGCAAACAGCCTGTTTTTTATCTGTGGCTTTGGATTGGATTCATGCTTAGTTTGGTCCCACACTAATAAGTCTACATTCCCATTTACATTTAGCCAAGAATTCTTCATTAAGTGCTTTTACATGCACTTAATAATCTGATAACTGCAGAAAATCAGATTTTGTCAGTAATCCGATCAACACGTTTACATGCACTTGAGTAATCAGGTAACGGGGAAACTCCAGGTCTACATAAGTCAGGCAGTAATCAGATTTCTGCTTTGCAACCAGCCAGTAAACTCACAGAAGAAGACGTGACGTAAACATGATGTAAAACTCAAACTTCATGCTCACTTTACCTGAGAATATGAACAGACATCATCTGGTTTCAGGGTCTCGTAGCGACGCTGCTGGGACCGCTGTCTGTTTTCGCTCATGCGCAGACTGAGAAATGCAAAAGAAATCAGAGTAAGAGTTCACATGCACAGGGAAATCTGATTTCTGAGCTAAAATCCGGCTTTCTTTATCAGATTTCTTCATTGGATTTCTAGACTGGAATAAGGTGTTTACATGACCATTTGAATAATCAGATAACTGCAGAAATCTGATTATGATCAGATTATTGAGTGCATGTAAACACGCTCATTGTTATCCCCAGACGTTCTTGTTACGAAATAACATCTAGCCCCGCAAGACTAAGCTCAGCTTTGGGTCAGTGTTGGCCTGAACTGATATGCTCTTAGCCACACATGTTCAGACTGAGATCAGACTGAGATCTGACTGCTAGTGCATTAACATGAATACACAGAGGCTGGAGCTGCTGATAGGCTGAACACATACATTTAGTCACATACACATAATTACATACATTAGCATTCAGAAGTTTGGAACTGCTGTTCAGAAGTTTGGAATCAGTGTCTTTGATAATATAAAGGTTCAAATGTAATTTGGATTCATACAGGTGTAGAAAATGATTCTGATATGCTCGTCCTGTGAGGATAGTAGAGCTGCTGCTGATTGTAAAATGATTGAGGAAGCTGTACAGCTGTGAGACTTAAGTTATTTCAAAATGAATATTCATCATAATTCAAAGTGGAGATCACAGTAAACTTTAAACATTAGTGTAAGTAGATAATTACTGTATATTATCCTTTTATTCACTTCATGTTTACAGAATTCTTTGAATATTTTGATGAACAATGTGTAATATTCAAATCCACATCGCTTAAGTCTTTATATAAAGTAGCACAACTAATTATGGCAGGTGATTTCAGGGGTAGACACCTGTATAAAACTTGCATTGGCCACTCGGGCCACCAAGCCAGTTAATCTTGTGGCCAATATTAAGAATTTAGAATAATGCAAATATATTATATGGATTATTATATTTGCGATTAACAAGCATGAAAACTACATTAATGACAACATCGCTGTTGTGGTGACTGCAGTGGTGGCCCCCCTTGCTGAGCTGGTCCACCACTTCAGGTTAATTCGTTAGATGCTGTTTAGCTACTGCAGTGAGAGCCTCTCAGTGTGTTGCCAGCTTATTTAACACCTTACTGTATGTATGTACTGTATGTATTAGCCAGCCTTAGCCAAAGGAACATGACATCACACCACCACTATATTAGTAGTGGTTTTAGCTAACATATTCCAACAAAATCTGATTTGTCCGATTAGTTCTGACCAAACAGGTTTGTTAAAACGGGGAAATGTATTTACAAACATCTCCAAGGCGGGTCTCCCCTTGGGCCACAGGCTCTGCATTTATAGTGGACAAAATGTGGGCTGTTGTGGTCCCAGTGTCTACCACTGGTGGTTCCAAACTTTTGAATTCTAATGTATATACAGTATAAACACATATATCCAACCACACACCTATAGATATACACATACAGCTCAGCCTGGGGCTGCTAGCAGGCTGAAAGAGTGAGATGAGCACACAAACAGGAACGATTAGTGATGGGAAGATGAAAATCAGTTCAGTCTCATACTTTAAGAATGGTATAATTCTGCAAATGCTGAATTTCCTCAGTAATCCAGGTCCACTGGCGCTTTTCCACTACACTACTCACAGAAATTTCTGTAGTGAAGTATTTACCTGCATGCTGTCGTTAGCTTCCCCTCACTAATTAACCCCCTCCACACCAGGCTGAGCCCCCCGCATCACTCTGTACAGAACCAGAACCTCTTCAGCGAGTGCACAGGAACACCTATAGATCCTCTTTTTCTGCTGTTGTTGCTCTCCTCCTTCACAGGCGCGCGCTGACTGATGTACTGTAAGGTGTTTTGTCGCTTTTTCAGTGGAGCGCTCCGCAGAATACTAATGCGCATCGGTTGTAAATGGTGAAACGTATTAATTCTGTGTTAAAGTGTAGACGACGAAGACCACTGCTGAAGCTCGGTGTATTAATTCTCTGCTCCAATCTGAAGACTGGAACACTTTAGGAGTCTTTCTGATGTTTCTTTGTGTGACGATTCTCAACTCTGTAGTTCAAGAGAGCCTTGAAATGTGGTTCACTAATAAAAACTGAGATTAAAACAGCCGCCACTGTGAACGTTTGTTATATTCGTCGTATTTGAGGTTTCGGAATAACTTTTGAGAAAAAACAGTGCCATGTTTTTTATTATTCTTCAGTAATAATGCAGGCTTTAGCTTTTAATACGACCACAATCAGGACAGAATGTACTAGTGCAGTCCTGAGTAGCAGTGGTTCACCCTCTGTCTCTCATTTTAGCATAGAAAAGCTTTAAAGCTAAGTACAGTTTTAAAGGGGAATTATACCTGTCAGAAATGTCTAATTCAGTCATTGAGATGTAAGCAGAGTCATTCAGAGTGGTTTGGTGTGAAATGGTTCATTGTAGAGACTCAGATTTCTTTACAGTGGTGGTGATGGGAAACCAGGGATTATGATGTCCACAACACAAAAATAGCCATTTTATTTACTATCCAGTGAACCTACATGAGTCTTCTGAGTGTTTATATGCTTTTAAATAGTTGAAAATCTTTAAAAGGGGGAGTTTGATTTCCTTAAAATGCCCTCTGCACCATGAATGGCTTTTTAAAAATACATTTTAGGACAAAACCTTCTCTCAAAACGATCATTAAACAGTGTCTCAGGCATTAGACAGCATATTTGTAACCATTTCATTTTATAGCTTTCTTTAAAGGAACTTTTAGAGGCATCAAAATCTTCAGATGTCTTGATTTCTATCACCCCTATGAACAATTCTGCCTTTTTCACCATCACATCAAACCACTCTGCATGATTTTGTTAGCATCTCATCAGTTTAGTCATGCATAATGTTTGAAAATTCTGATTCATTCTTATTTAATGCCCTAAAGGCAAATGACACTATTATATCACTTGTTTGTTGTTCCCCCAAGTACAGTGGATCAGCCAACACTGTTCTTGCATACATAGTTAGTTTTTGCACTGGAGCTGTGAGGGTAATGTGGCAATTAGCATAGAGCTGCTGTTCATCAGCCATTACTTGTTAACCACATTAGCCTCATGAGTTCAGTGTCAAACTAAAGAAGCTAATTACTTCTGGGGTGCAGTGACTATTATTATTAGGAATGGTGTGTGAAATGGACATATTCTGGGATGTATTTAGTGTCCCACTCTTTAAAATGAAGCCGTCACTATAAAGCAGTCTCTTTTTCCGGTGTGCATTTTTCATCTCCAACATTTTTTTAAAAAATGGCCAATAGGTGGTGCTGTTGCACAGCATGAACTGAACAGGCTCTTCTAATGAAAACTACAGACCCAGCAGCTGAGAACAAGCTTTAGCTGGAGAAACGAGGGCGCTGTGTATTGGTTTCTTGGGGAAACGTGTGGAAATCTGATAGTGGTGTGAAGAAACATGCTTAAACCCTGCAATGAGGTGTTAAAATCCACACTAAAATGGCAGGAGTGCTCGGCTTTATGATACATATGTGATCTCTGATAGGCCTTTAGGATCCCTGCTGAAAAAAGCCCTCTAGAACCGTTAAGATGAAAACCTGATGGTTATGCTTTCTAATGGGAATTGAGATCAGTCGTTTCCTTTAGGATACCTCCCATTAGGAAACCATCTGTAAACAGTCCCAGAACACCTGTTAAACCATTAGAGTCCTTTACACTGCGATAGCAACCCATCAGAAAAACACGACATACCATTAGTGACTACTGGACACCACCAGGAACCAGCAGAGAGCTTCAGTGGTAGCTATGATTTTTTCAGCAGGGATGTTTTTACTCCGTCTTCAGCCCGGTGAATAAAGATCACTCCTAACTGACAATCACCAATTTGGTCCAAACAACAGGGAGGACTGTCGTCTGCTTTATGAAAAAGACCTATATGGTGATACTGCAGTCATTTCTGCAGGATTCTTTGAGTGCAGTTACTATAGTTTAATACAGGATACTACTATAATACAGTAATGGATTATTCTACTGAACTGGTTCGACCTCAGAGCTGAAAACACATTTTGCCTTTTAGCTGATTTGGGCTTTAGACTACAGTGCTATTGTTTGAGTGACTCTGTTCCTTAATTGTGTTTATTTTATTAAAACAAATGACTGAACTTTCCATTTTGTCACTAACAAAACAATCATAACGCTATCGAAACTTTACCAAATGTGTCAGTAGTGAATCTTTCGACTTCTTTTGAAGAGCGAGATCTTTTAAAAAACAATGGTCATAATGTTATGCCTGATCGGTGTATCTGCCAGTATACTGAAATACTTTTACTTAACAAAATTACTTAAAACAAATAAAAAAATGTCTAGAAATAAGGTAAATAATCTTAAGAGGACAACAATCTCAACAGGAGATACTTAAGATAATTGCACTTGACAAGACACCATTTTCTGCAATGTGCTACTGAATTGTGGAGTACTGTAAGACCATAGCAGCATTAAAGAAGAGGAAAAGACTCTACATTAAACAGCTCTACTGAAATGTCCTCGTTTCTCATAATATTACTGTAGATCTTTCTTTGTGAGGGCTCAGCCTGATTACCATGAGATCTCAGATTGATCAAGCTCGGTTATGTTTTTCAGCTCCCAGTTCCCTGACGTTGCCGGAGGGCTTGAAGCGCCCAGTGAGACTTCAGTCAGAACTAATCATCGTAAGAAATGAAATGTAATCTTGCGAACTGTCAAAATGGAGACAGAGGTTGTTTCAAACCACTGCCAAGTTATGCTACTTGGATGAGGTTCTGCTGCTTTTGCCCTGCCTGGAAGTCAGTTCTTCTGCCTGGGCTGCAGTCTGAGAGCCTTTCTTTGGCCACTGGCCTCAGAAATGATGTCTCTCTCTCTCTCTCTCTCTCTCTCTCCCTCTCTCCCTCTATCTCAGCTCTATTCCCAAAACCCCAGGGCTTTTCCTCTCTGTTGACATTGGCACATCTGGAGTACGTGCAACAAGCACGGAGCATGTGAAGATACGGGCCGGCGCTCATTCAGGCTCGCTAAGGTAGCATCTTCCCTCATATCTGCACCGATCTCAGCCACAAAAAACAACCCCTAGGCCGGCCTTCCTACACCCACATATTTTTGCGAGTCCCCTGGCCTGCTCTGTTTTATGGTCCAGCCTCCTCGTGTGTCGTTACTGTCAAGATAACCATCTTAAAACATGTCTCCTTCTAGAACGGAAAACAGTAGCTGCCATTGAATATGCTTTCTTTATATAATGTGTGCGTTTATAACTACTGGTTGGAGGAGAGAACATGCAAGCTACATGTGTACGTTTCAAGTCTTGCCAAGGGGAGGATTAGTAAAGGATCATTAGGAGGAATAGAAAACCATTTACCCTTGAACTCTGAAGTGAATGATGGCCTCTCAACTCCAGTTGATGCTAATTCAGCGCTATACTTTGAAAGTCACTTTGAATCTGTTCTCCAGCATAACGTGTGGGTTCCACACTGTTTGGGGCTCTTTTATAAATGCTGGCAGGGCTCATGCTAAGCCTGGCATGAAATGATATCTACAAACCCTATAAACCCCATTTCTCAAGGCCTTTGAGTGCAGCCTGTTGCCAGGCGGTGGAGGTTTGTATGTGTGCGAAGCGAGCTGTTTACGTTTCCATGTATGACTAAGCAGAGAAAAAGGAACGCTTCGATCTGATGCCTCGGCCGTGTGTGTTTATCGGCTGTTTATAGATTAAATGGCCCATATGCTGCATTGTTCTTGTATCTTATTTTTTTTTCCTGAGGCCCACTTATAATGTTTGTGTCGTGGCCAACTGGGACTGTTAGAGCTCAGATTGTTCAGTTTGGGCCTCAAATGTAAAATCCTTGGTCAAAAACAAGGAAAAACACCTCTACGCTCTTAAAAATGATGGTTCTTCAAGGGTTCTTTAGTAAATAAATGGCTCTGTATAAAACCATGAACACTCAGAGAGCCATTTGCATGATTTAGGGGTTTTTGCATCATTAAATTGTTCTTCATATTGATGGAGAATGTGCTGTAGATGGTTCTATATAGAACCTGTTGTGACAGTGTCAAGCCTGTAACAATAGATGAACGGTTTTTGGTGCTATGTAGAATCCTTTTTTAAAAAAGGTTCTATGTAGACCCATTTAAAACACATTCCAAGGGTTCTTCAGTACAGTTGGATCTATATAGAACCATGAGCACTCAAAGAACCCTTGGAATAAAAAAGTGTTCTACATAGCACCAAAAATAGTTCTTCTATTGTTACAGGCTTGACATTGTAACAATAGGTTCTAGATAGACATTCTCCATCAATATGAAGAACAGTTTAATGATGCAAAGACCCCTAAATCATGCAAATGGTTCTTTGAGTGCTCATGGTTCTATATAGAACCATTTTCTTTACTAAAGAATCCTTGAAGAACCATACTGTACTGTGTGTACAGTAATACTAATTTCTGCTAGCTCCCCTATTGGAATCCAGTAGTATGTCAGCACTAAACTAATGTCGGCTTGTAACAGACATTAGCGTATATTTGACCTGTATGCAGTTTCACAGAGCTCACTTTTAAAGAGTCCTGACATGGAGCTGCTGCTGCTGTTTTTCATTTCTAACAACTGACTGAAATCTAGATAGACCACCAGTCTTATTCACACTCAGTGACATATCTAGAACCTTCAGAAGGGCTGGAGTGATATTCTCTCTCTCAAAATTGGTCCTTCTGATTCTACTGTTAGTTCTTAATAATGGTGGTGGTTAAAGCTACACTATATAAGATTTGGGATTTGGAGACCTCTCTGGTGGAAATGCGTAATTGCATTCAACGTACAGAAGAACATTTTATAATGTGGGTCTGAGCTGAAACACACTTTATAGTGTGAATGGATGAGGCAAAGCAGCAGTAGAATGAATAGGTGGTTATATGTAAGTGAGTTGGTTTTACTGACATTACAAAAACAGTGGATTGTTGTTTTTGCAGCTTAATTTCCATATATGGAATAAAAGGACAGGTGAGTGTTTCGAAACTTTTACAGTGTTTACATACTACATCCAATGTTTTTATTTAAAAAAAGTGAAGAAAATGCACTTAAAAGGAAGCAGGTGCAGAGCATTTCTGATCACCACTGGGAGCTCAGAT